TTTTTTTTTTTGCGTGCCGATATCATTTTTACTTTCTGATGATAACAAATTATATCTACAAAAACCTACGAGATACGCTATTGCATCATCACTGTAATATAACAATCAACAATAATTATACTGCAGAACGCGTGTCACTGTAGCTGCAACGTTTCAGTGTGCAAATTTCATTTTTTTTTTTTTTCATGTTTTATAGGTACTGTACGAATGAAAAAAAAAACGATTCTCGGTCAACTAGGCCAAATGCTATAATAATATAATCATAATGCTTTTCTGAATTAGTAACCAGTAGGTACCATATACAACGACAACGAAAAAAAAGTATAAAAAGACTTTTTATACCATTGATTACGTTAACTTAATTTTGTCTTATTTTCATTTTTTTTTTAACGGGCAGCCCATTAAATACGAATTATTATTGAAATGGGAGCTGATCTAAGCCTTGATGACGAAATATCGTAAAAATAGTATTTTCTGTAAGAAAATTAGACAAGAACGAATTTATAAAATACTAGAAAGACAAATCTTTGGGTCAACCAAGGGTGCAAATAGTAAAAGGGGGAAAATGCATAGTTGTTCCCATTTTTATGAAAATTAGAAGGAAAATGATAAATGATAACTGAAATATATCAGTTATAATAAAAATAGAAATGTGTGTACACCAGTGTAACTATAGACGTGAGGTTAAGGAGTAGATTTGTTCATAGATCTTTTAAAAATTAGGTACGTCTAAATGATAGGTATGTATTTCGGTGGTCGCTCAAGCCCACGTAATACAAGTATAGTTGGAAAATCCTAGTTACGCCTATAACAAGCGAGTGTGTGAGAGAAATATGTTATAAGACTCACGTCATATACTCGGACAACTTGATTCAAGTTTCGGACAAAAGTACGACAATATTACTATCGAGGTATAGTATCCAAAATCGTCGGAGCGCTCGAGGCCGGAACAGGAAAAAACAAAAACGGTTGTGAAATAATCTGTACGCATAAAACGCCTGTTGGCTACGATAGAGTTTCTCGAGTCTCGCGTGCGTACGCCTAGCTGTATAGATTACCCATTACTTACATTAAATTGAACGAACACACAACTTATTATAACTATATGTATTTTTTACAGGGAATTATGTAATTATATAATAATTTTGTTCAAATTACGACGACCACGACGTCGTTATAATATTACGAGTGCGACAGTAAAATCGACACATACTTAATATATTATAATACATAATAACGGTTCATATTATAATATATTTATATATACCTAATATGTAACGTAGTCGGTCGACCACAACGATATTATTATCATTATTATTCGTCCCGATATCCTTTTACTATATAGATGAAAGTCGTAGATAATAATAATAATAATATATGATAGTATGTTACATGTAATTATTGTAACTTTTTACACGTATCCGTTTGCATTGTAATAATTATTGTTTTAGATTCTGAGCGGAGCAAGGAATGTATTGATTTTACAATGTTTATTTTTTATTTTTTCTGTGAACAACTTTTCTGTCATCTTGCTCCGATTTTCAAATGTAGTACATTTTCAGAAAAGGAAATTTTATCTGGATAGTACTTTAAGAAAGTCATATTTTGATTTTCTCAGGGGTTTTCATAAGGAGCGAAAAATTATCAATTTGGTTTTTTTCATGTGATTCAGTTAAAAATATTCTTAGAAACTTTAAATTTAGTCAAAACACTAATATTTGGATTTTCTAGACGTGGTAAAATTTTTAAAATATTTTAACCATTTCTGAGCTATTTATAGGCATTTTAATCTTGCGAGTTTTTTACATAATTTTTATTCGGTAGATACCTACTTTATAGATACAATTTTCTGACCAAACAGAAATACTTGAAAATTTAACAGGAGCTTCATTATTAATCGTACTTGTAACAAAAAAAAAAAAAGAAGCTGAGTGCAATATAATAATAATTTTTTTTTACATAATGGTTGTAAAATCATATTTTAATGAAAAGCATAAGTTGTACGGCCTTCCAAATCATGTATAAGCGAACTTGGCTTAGAATCGATTTTCATTAGCTGCAATAATGTTTTACCATTGCTAACAGATAAAAAAATTAAATAACTTTATGTATACTACCTTCTCAAATGTTTACCAACAATAGTTGTCAACAACTGAATGTAATGTAATCATATTTTATTTTTTTTATATATATAATGCAAGATCAAATTTTGATGAAAATCGTAAATATTTACGGCCTTTTAAAACATGTAGGTACAACTATTTTTCGTTAGCAATGTTTAATCGTTGCGTACAAATATAAATTAAATTTTCCGCTATATCCTACCTTTCCAACTTCTCATCTACAAGAGTGACCCACCCATGGTGCGAAGTAAGTCAGTCTTTTTTTTATGACTACAATACGATATTTTCAAATAGCTATATAGTGTTGTAAAAACCTAGTAAACTTTTTAATCAATCAAAATCCATTTTGAACATTAAAATCCATCAAACCCACAAATTACAATTTTGCGTACCCACACAAAATCATTTTTAGTTTAAATATCACCCTTTTTTTTTAACTACTGCAATTGCTTACAAGTGGTGATTATCTATTCTACATTTGTGTACCCCTAATACAAAACCCGAAAAATTAATTTGAAAAAAAAAAAAATGAATATTTACAGAATTTTCAACATTCTAATAACACTGTAGGACACCCTAAATTATGCTTGATGATATTATGAACAAGACTTCTGGTAGACAAGTCGTTAATATGCTCAATGAGATTAAAAACACATATTATAGTTACTGCACAGTCTCGATACTCTCTACGGAATCTAAAACTTCTAATCACGCAAAAGAAAATTTTCCATATTATTCGATTCCCATTCCACTTAACTGCAGACACCAATATATGTAGTTATGTATATTTTAAATGAATAAAAGACGGAGAACACAAATACGAATATATCCAAAGCAGTATTATTGTTCGGCATAATTATCATATTGTAATAGGCAATAAAACATAGTAAAACGCGGCAAGGATCAATGGTCGGAAAACGGCGTAGGTATAAAAATATATATTATATTACAACCGAGAAACGTTATCGGATAACTCCGATCTCCGGTCGCTTTCAAATTTAATTGCACGCGGAGAATATTATTATTATTCCGATTTGCATAATATTATATTATTACATAAACTTTTTAATATAAAAAACAAAACTGCCTACAAATACCAATTTATGTCACTGCATAATAAAAGTGATTTTTTTTTTTTTTTTGTTTCATTCATTTGTTCGTTCATTCACAAACCGGCGGCTTATTAAGACAGTTTTAATAAGACAATAATAATATTACTATACGATGAGTGTTTTTAATTACTTCCGAAGCGCAATAATATTATTCCGTACTATACGCTGAGCTGTTTGTTATTTTGTATTCAATAGAAAAAATATGTACTCGTGTTATTAATACAATTGAAACGTAACCGATTTCTTAGGCTACAGTGTACAGTACATATTATACAATATGACTAAATTCCCATGAAAAGTACTATACATATTTCGAGCAAATGAACTTGTATTTAAATTCCGTTTTCGGTTTAAATCACTTCCCCGAGTAAAACTAAAGATAATATATTAAAAAAATCCATAATGATTAAAAAAAAAAAACAACAAAAATAAAAATTACTCCTTCAAGAAAATTTCTGAATCATATATAATAAATCAATAAGCATTATTAAATTGTAATGTGGTAATGCGGCGAGAAAAATCGTCCAAGTTTAACTAAACTTCGGGAACTATCCCTGTATAATAAACGATAATATTAATATATATTTTAAGAGGACGTTGACCGCCTAGTTCAAGGGGTTGCGTATAGGCAATTTTAATGAAAGATTGTAAAAATCAAAATTTATCGACTTGAATTCAATTTTTTGTCAATTAACCGACGGGCTACAGAAATTCCGTATATCTCTTTTTAAGATATTGCATGAAATGTTATTGAAGGATTTTTATATTAACAAAAAAAACGTTACTACAATGTCTCGGATATGCTGAATCTGGTCTCTAATACTACTATAACGACACATTATTGTTTACGCTAACTTATTTAACAATAACAAAATATTGACCTTTTGAATTACATAATATAGAATTCTGTGGGTGATAAATTTATTTCATTATCGGTCAATATAAAGCAATTAATTTTATTGTTACCGTTAACGCAAATAATGACGGTTTTAGGAGTTAAGCCCTACAAAAAGCCCCCCTACCCATCAAGACCTCATCAAGTACACATTCTAAGTATACATAATAATATTATTAAATATTTTATATTATAAGATTATAGGGCCTTAGGCCTTCCTCATCAAAATATTTTGTTTATTTGGTCTTATTAATCGATGAAAATTTCTTTAATTTTTTATTAGTTAGCCCGATAATATAGTTTCCACTTATTATACTGTAATAATGATTCGTTTCACACTCATCACCAAAATCTTTATTATGAAACGGTTAACGCGAACTCTATATAAAACCCAAAGTTAACACTGTTGCAGTAAGTCACTGCAAATGGTAAGTGAGTTTAGTAAGGAAGGTATAGGAGGATATACAGGACAATTTAATTTATATTATGCACGCAACGATTAATCATTGTAAATGGAAAAAACTATTCTTAGCGAGTATCATTCATGGTTTTTCGCCCTGTAGCCTGTATAACCCGGGAATCGACAAAAATAAAACCGACGGTAATGTACGTTTGTCGGGGAAAAAAAACGACCCATATGATCTTAGTATATGACGAATTCCAGTACTATTCGGAATTTAAAATCAAACTAAATAAATCGCACAAGTATTATAAATAAGTGTACGGACGCGTATTATATTTTTTACGGGAGACCCGTTGGAGGCGGTGGCGGTGGGAGCGGAGATAGTGGGAGACCGCCGTCGCCGCTGCAGCCGATGACCACACGCGCACGCCGGGCAACTATGAGCCGGCAGCACGATCAGTAGTCATCGTCAGTTACGCGCGCGACGACGACGAATACAAATTTTCAAACCAAAAAAAAATCGCTATTAAATCTCGATATTTCTACAATAATATATAGCAGCGACACCGATATCAATAATAATATTTTAATAATTAATTATAATATTATAATCATATTTTTATACAGTCGTGCGCGGTCGCAACATCCGAGTACTCGCACGCGAGCACATCACACCAGTGTCCGAAAACCGCAGTATACCTTATTACAATAATTTTAGTACCCTAGTGAAAGTGGTCGTCTCGTGCGGTGGTCGCCACTATATATTTTAATATCGTACCGCGTAGAACTTTGTTTCGTCTAAAATAAATATCTTTATTTTTTTATCTCTCTTTTCCGTCCGCAAGTTTAGTTTAGTTCTTGTTATACCGTATACTATATAACTGCAGTTGAATATATTTTTATATCTGAAATATTTTTTGGTCTGACGTCTTCGCCTAACTACTCAAAATCTCTACGGCAAAACGCACCCGTATTAATATCGTTAAACCGGTGAGTACTTTTATGATTATGAATATATATATACATTAAATAGGTGTACTGATAATATGACAATTCGCGCACTTTACTCGTCCGTACTGTTTCCCCCCCCCCTTTTTTTTTCTTTCCAGCGAAATCTGAAAAGAAAAAAAACCGCTACGCGAGTATTATTATTATTATTATTATTATTATTATTATTATTAATAGTTAGGTCGACCCGCGTATATAAATATATAATATGAAATACTAGTTTCCAGACGAGTTTTACGTAACGATACGCCGCCGTGCGCCGCGCAAAAGTTGTAGTTTCGAACGCGTATAATATTAATATAGAAAGGCGATCGCGTGAATTTTTTATTATTTTTTTTTTACCGTACGTGAAATATGAAAGTAAATTTGCGAGTATACTTGTAAAATTGTGCGCTGACTACGACCACGAGAACGACTTCGTTTCTTATATCGCGTCGTGTATGTACAACAAAGTAAAGTCAGATCAACACTGAAAAGTTCACATTTTTTTTGTCTCTAAATCGTTGCCGCAACAAATAATTCAACATACGAAATCGTCGAATTCGGTCAGACAATTTGAACAAAATTTACACATATACACTTGGAGAATTCGTGATGCCACGAGAAGTTATGACTTTGGTCCAAGGGAAAAAGGGCCTAAATCAATGTTTATCTTTTGTAATTGTCTCCCCATTATTTTTTGGTCTAAATGGCATAAGTGTATGTATATTATAATACATTTTTATATAGAAACGTTGTATCTTGTTGTATTTTAAGTTAGTATTTAACGTAATTTTTGTATAGTAAAACTGCTTACATCACATATAATTAAATGACTCAAGCCGTTCAGAACGCCATAATTAGGTATTAGGTTACCGATTATGCTATTATGTAATTTAGCAATTTTCAAAAATCAAATTTGCTTGTATTGAAAACTATGTATACAATTTCAACTCTTCTCTGGGACCAAATATATAATAATGTAATATGTACAAGATCTTAAATTTCGTGCGAACCGGACAGAAATTCCGATCGGAAGAAAGTATAAATACGGTGCAGTCGCGATAAACCCGACGATGCGCGAATGAGGAAATAGTATCGAATAATATTATGTTAATATGCTCGTGTATGTATGTATGTGGGTGTGTGCAGGAGAAAATGTATTGATTATTGTGAAAACGCGACCAGACACATAATAAATCGCGGAGAAATCACGATTTTGTATAAATTTGTGTTCGGTAAACACAATTAACAAATAATGATAATTATAATTTGTAACTATATAATATACACAAAAAATTATAGTGTCTGATTAAAAAATAATAATAATAATAACGACAGACGAGTCATATAACGAGTCACAATAACGCAGAAGAAAATAATATACGAACAAATAGACTCGATGTCGTTAATATCGGTACCGCACGTTTAAGTCTATCATATTTTATAATCTCAATACCTACAATAATCTTTACTATGATTATTTTTGAAAAGTCTTTTACTCCCTTCGTACCTAACCAAAATCGATAAATTATTACAAACAGTTTTAGAGAACAAATTACAATCACATATTTTAATTTATTTGCACTAAGTTTTCAGGTTGAATTTGCGACATGACAATAAGAACGCAACGAATATCCGTTGCTAGAGAAATGTAATAGTTTTTATAATATTATTTTTGTACTATTTGGTTTTTAAAATGAAAACTATTCGCATGAGCCCACTATAGTAATATTTGTTTAGTCGTCATGCAGTCGAAATATGCATGGCTCCACCGAAAACGTTTTAATGTAAAATTTATGTAAACTTTACGTTTGGTTAGTAAAAACTTCTGAGCCAAAGTCTGATAACGGCGGCAGTGATTTATAACAATTTATCTACAAAATCCCCAGACGAGAAGTCCTCGCGATTGTCGTACACTAGATTATAAAAAATGACATGCGTAAGTTATTACACTTTTTTTTTTATAAAAATATGTAATAGGCTCTGAGCCAATTTCAATACTAAAATATACTTTTATAATCTCCGATAAAACGTATTATTATAAACTCGCCGGAAAACAAATTTCTCGAATAACCTATAACGCGCTGGGTTATTTTTTTTTTTTTAACGAATCGAATTATTCGCGTAGTGTTTCACTGACCAGTGAAAACGTCTCATCGGGAAAGTCATCATATATTATTATATACCTATATATTTGAGCGTTATTCGCTATACCCGAAATCCAATCGAATGGGCCAATTTAATTATCTCCACCTGAGTACGTATTTTATACGCAGCTGTGTCTTGCCTGTGTGTTTTAATGTGCGTTTAAACCGTTATCGCCACGAGGGAAAGCATAATATTATAATAACAAGGGGAATAATATTTTGACTATAACAGTGTAGTAGTAGTATATTCGTAAATTAATATTATAACAATAAAAATAATATGTAAAATATATAATAAATAATATACATAATATTATATATTATTCAAATGTATTGCATTTAACATTCGAAAAAAAAAAACTAGCCGGATATACTTGACGGACCATGGGTGGGCCACGTAGTTGTAGGTAGAAAATTGTTAAATCATTAAACGGGAGAAAAAAATACCATATCATCAAGTTCAAGTTTTTCTTTGATCGCAATATGGTCCAATATCTCTTTTCGAATATGTAAAATCAATAATTTATTGAACAAAATATAATGTTAATATGACATCTGTGAATTGCTCTTGATTACCTAGCTTGGTGATTAAGAACAAAAAACCGTTTGAAGAAAAATGATTATATAATATACCTATAGATATATATATATACTTATCTAGAATAGTATCTATTATTTACTAAAAATAATTTTAAAAAATAAACATAAAATATATTATCTATAGATTAAAAGATAGTTATCTAGATTAACTTAGATGATTTTATCAGGATAATACTAACCCTGGATTATATGATCGCAAATCGTTACCGAACGATTATCTACTATATTTTAACGGTTGATCGCGGTAACCTATAGTTATCGATCCGGATTATTGAATCGCTTACACGATAATTTAATCGTAATATTTTCGAGCGAAAAAAAAATCATTATAATGTCGCGTCGCGTCGGTCGTTGGTCATTGTGCGTGCACCGCGACCGACGAGTTATGAAATCGTTTTTTTTCTGTTTTCTTTGGAAAACAAATTCGTTCGTTCTCCCGTTACCAGAGCCAATTTCGAAACGCCCAGGAAGTTCGCGCGTGTGGAAGCAATATTAATATTATTTTGTATGTCAGTTCGCCGAGTTCGGTTTTGAGTCACTTATTAGTTATATTATTTTATAATAACCGTCGACAGCTATTGATGGCAACGCGGCCGATATTTGCGAGGGGCGAGCGGGCGGGTTACTTTGAGGGGGAGGGGAGCGAGTGATCACGACGACCGTTTTCACCTTGATCCGAATAATGTAATAATATCGTATTATATATATTTAATACGTTTCTCGTATACCTATATACTTGCAATATAAAATTGACGATTTCGCAATATAGATTCGGCGTTTTTGTGTCTGTCGAACACTATAAAATACTTTAATGCCTGCTTGCCCATGATAATATTATGGTCGTTGTTCGAACGTCGAATGTCCGCGGAAAACAATCGTAGGGGTGGAAGGAGGGGAGGCGTAATATACCTCTGTATACGGGAATAATAAATATTATTACTTATTACTCTTATTATTTATATCAACCAATATTACGGGTATACAGGTCCGAGTATAATATAATACCCGTACATACGTATCTATGTCGGTGCGGCTAGGCGTTCGGCGATTTTGACACACACACCGTGTAAAATCCATTATTTTTTCAATATTAAATTCTATGTATAATATAAGCACTACAACTCATGTATATAATAATATCATAAAGCTATATATGAAATACGTATAAAATAATACCATATAATACAATATTACTACTATACCTATATAATAATAATAACAAACGTTTTCGGTCGAGGTAAGATCAACGCTCGTCGCGGTGTATGATATATTATTTTATAATAGCAATATTTTTGTATTTTGTAAACCGTCTTACATACTATAATATATACCGCACGAGCCACAAAACTCGTATATATTGTTCATAACCTCTTGTTGTCAACTACGATTGACATGCGAGATTTTTTTTTGGTGATTTTTTAACCCTCCGGATCGCGCGAAATGGCGGAGGCAGCTTATACAGCCTCAACGACTGTAGGTCACGCTATCCTCGAACAGTATTTCTTGAAAACAAACGAGTAGCTACGAACTTACTCGGGGACCAAAGGTTTTTCGCATTTGTATTACATATTATTTATTGTATCATTTATATTTATTGTCGTTATTGTCGTCGTCGGACCGCAGCGTATACAATGATGATTGCATAATCCCCAGAATATAATATAGTAAAATATGATGGAATATTATTATGCCGTTTTTTAGTTATTTCCATCGAATACGTGGTGGCGCCCTCCCTCGAGATAGGTTAAGTTAGGTTCAGTTTGACAAAAAAAAAAAGGTTAGGTTAGGTTAGGTTTCGCTTCAGTGCGTTGCGTGCACTGTAGGTATTACACCTACAACTATTGCGAGCCGCGGTCCTCGCGACGGATCGTCGCCGGAGAAATATCGAAACGTGTCGTAACAACCCAAATGCCCAGCCAACCTAGACTACTCTATGCCGTCACCACCGCCGCCGCGGATAAATACCGAATATCCTCCCGGTCGTCACTCAAGTGTTACGCGTGCGAGCGTATACCGTTCCGCGCGTAAAACTTGCAAAGGTTATACCCACGACCGTATTATTACATTTTTTGTTTTATTTTTGTTTCTCATAATCTTTATTTTTAATTTTTATTATCGTTATTACTATTGTTTTTTTGTCTCCGGGGCACGCTCGTGTACTGTCCGCGGACCGATAAGCGCACGTGCCGGATATTATTATGATTCTCTCTGGGCCACCGCGGTAGCCGAACCGCAAAACTGTTTTGGCTAGGTTAGGTCGACGGGCGTCATCGAAAAACTCACTGACCTAACCTTACCTAACCACAAATCATGGGCGTTAAGGGCGTTATACCTCTGCAGCAGCGGGCGTCGTTTGTCGTGTCGTGTGTATTTTTGTCGTACTCTGGTTAACCGTCGAAATAACAATCGAACGGCGTTTTACTCGATGAACTACCGGGAAATGTCCAAGTTTGAACAGTTAGATTTATTCCAATTTTATTTCGATCTCTACGGACAACCTAATATCGAGAACGATTGATCGAGGAAAACAGAGGATAGAAAAGGCAGAAAGTCTCGTCTGTGCTATAAAAGTTAAAAATTTCAAATTTTTGTAATCGTGGTGAAATACATGGCAATAATTACACTTAGGTATAATCACACTTATGGTCGTAAAGTATGAACTGTCAACTAGCGTGACAAAATAAATGTAAGTTTCTGATAAATAATTCGAGAAAGAAAAACTGTCATTTTTTATTTGACAAATTTTCTAGGGTACTAAGTACATCATAAAAGGCAATAGAATACAATGGATAATGGAAAATGTAATAAGAAGAAATGAAGTTGAGGCTATCAGAAGTAATTATACAACGGACCATGGAAAAAGTGGATTAAGATAATAAAATTAGGAAATATTAAGGTAACCTAACCTAACCTAACCTAACCTAACCTAACAAATATGACCTTTAAGGAGTGCAAGATTAGAACAAATGCAAGTACAAGATAAGAGTTTCTGTAGCCATTATTATAATTTTTTTAGTCTTAACAGAGTCTAAGTCAATCAAAGACAAAGAAAAAGTTAATCCTAAAAGCAACTTTCCCCTTCAAAATCCGTAGTATGAAATATAGCTGTGATACCACCTTATACCGACATAGGTGATAATAAAATAAGCCAATTGGCAGGTATTACCCAGTTAAGTTTACTTCTATTCGCGTACCAGAGAACCGTAACATCGGACAATAAAAATAAACTATGCGTATAATTATAAAAAAGTCGCACATCCAAGTCAGGTCCGGGTATGTAATTGACTTTGTAATAGTAATATAATAACACAAATAATTTATTACTTCATTGTATTTGCGTACTTATGCGACCACGAGTGACGGTAGTCACTGCTGGTTACGGGTCGCCGAAGACCCGGCCCCGGCTGCTATGTTCCGACGGATATCAGCGGACGCATACTTAAATATAGATGCAATCACTTGGCAAACGAAATAATATACCTTTTTGGTTACTTAATACTTATGTATATATTATATTTTCGTGGTAAAATAAGATAATGGTTTGCAATCGCATAATTTCTATACTATACAATTTTTCCAGCTAAAAGTATAAAGAAAATGTCCCTATGAGATGGGATCAGAACACTCTCAAGATACCTCTGTTAATACCTGTTGTAATAAGCGACAAATGGGACTGCGTCAGGTCAACAGCCGGTGTAAAAATTTTATCAAATAGTTTGAGGATTCCTAAACAAAGCTTCGGTGAATTATCTCATTACGGATGTAAGTGGAAATAAAAAAAAAATAACAAAAGAATGTGTAATATAGAATAAAGTGTGGTTGGATAAAATGGAGTGTAGCATCAGGTGTTTTATGTAATATGATAATTTCAATGAGATTTATGGGTAAGTTCTATAAGAGTGTTTTTTTTTTTTTTTTTTAAATAAAAATTACTATTTTTTATTGCTTCGTATCCGCACACACATGAAAACTTTTTTCGTAAATTAAAAACCAATTTAAATCTCAAAATCAAAAAAGATAAAAGGAAGCTGCAGTCGTTCATTCATCGCTGCAGTCTCTCGTTTCTTACCCATCCACTACCAGACTGCGATCAAATCTATTTTTTAAACTTTCGAATTATTAACAAATATATATTGACAACCAATATATATATATATATATATATATGGTCACGCATACGTTGTAAATTCCGCACGAATGATATATTGTGTTTTTCTCGCAAGGGTTTACCAGCCTATTCACATGCGCGTGTACTATTATTATTTTTGTTAATCGGACGTGGTCAAGGGGAACGATTTTCCCATGCGCCGTTTAACCTCGTCAGCAGACATAAAACACAACAACGACTGGGTTTTTGACGTACTTACATAATAATACGTGTGTAAACGCGGTAGTTAACCTTATATTATTGTAAACGTACCGAAATAATTACCGGGCAATTAATAACCGTATCATAACGCTGCAAGAATAGACACTCGCGTACACTATTATCAAAGCATTGTGCGAAAGGTCCGTGGCCACCTTGTCCTTGTCTCAAAAAAAGAAAAAGATAAAAAGAACGACCTTATTTATACCGACGGGTTGCTGTTAGTCGGCTGTATGTATTATTGAAGAGTATATTTCACGGTTGATAACGCGATATCCTTTGTTGTTCTGCGGGTCGAGAAAATTTTAAATTGGGCGCTGAACAGGCGCTGCAGTTATTACCCATATACTCAACAGTAATAATATTTCGATTGCGAGACTTCTTGAACGGTGATGGCAAAAAAATGTGGCGCCATCCTTGTTTACGACACGGAAAAAATTCGCCAACCGATTTCCACAGACTGCAATGAAGTCATCGGATACCTGATATAGACGACCGCAATAAATTATCATCCTATATAGACTTAGCAGTCGGATACTCGACGCTAAGTGATTTTTGTTTCAATACGCGCGTTTCGTCTTCGAATGATCAAGGTGATTATCATAATCCCCGTCATATTATAATAATCGCCAAATGTACGTACATCACAATAATATTATAGTGAACTATAATAATGTAAGGCTTCATCGGTCGGTATCTATATACTAAGCAGCGAATCTAAATCTTTAGATCTCGTAAATATCGCGTCCTCTAACAACTTCTTTTCTATAATCCTCTCTACGATGACTATGATCGATCGATATCAATGTCTCACCATACGTACAAATAAAACAAGTCGTTTTAATAATTATTATTAAGAAATCGACGACGACGCGATAAATTCATCAGACTGTTGACGAATTTCACACAGACAAGGTTATAGGTTAGGTAACTGCCTATACATATAAATTATGAAACAAGCAACATTACTGCTATTACTATTGAGAATAAAGATTTTACAGGAGATGAAAGAGAAAAAGACTCGATTTCGTATAGGAGTATTTCGAATTTTTTCACAAACGGCCGAGAGAAATTTCTTGGGAGCCCCTGGATGATCTTGAGAATCATATAAATTAGTACATGGTACACGAGTATATATTGTAAATTGTACAAATTCCTTCAAAAAATTACCTGAATTCGTCAACTTCATAATATTAAAAATATGTCAGTAGTAATACATAATCAAGGCAGATAAAATAATAATAGTATGCGATAAGGAACAAATATTATTACAGACGCATTTTTTCTTAAATAGTATTCCATTTTCTTGCAAATAGCTGCTCGTCATTAAGTAATACGATCGTATTTTACGATTCAATTTAATTAAGAGAGAGGGTGTTAAAATGTGTCAAATACGAACGGTATTCTTCAATATCTAGCCCCACATAAATACGCGACATCGATGTCACCGGTCTGTATATCATCATGGAAGAAAAATGATAGAACTGAAAAATAATGCTAAAATTTGGAAGATGCCAAAAATAAGATAACGATAACAATCTACTTAAAATACAATTTACAGATGAAAAACTGCACCGATTGCCATCCATCACTGACCCACTAAAAAAAAAAATTCCAAAGAATTTATTGCAGTACTGACTGACTTAAGATCAGCGACACTCGTGGCATGCGTATTTAACCTAAACTAAGACATTTTTTAATTCGACTTTCACTGTGCAAAAAACACGTGTACCCGTAAGACCAACGTAATAACGCTCTGATTTACTGCCGATTGAGTCGACATTACTATTATTATTCGTATTACGTCGACTAATTGTGTTTGCAAAACGTTTTCGCCGCCGCGCCGTTGTTGAGTTGTGGCAATTTTCGTCCGTCGAATAAACGAGGTTACCACTGCGTAAAAAAAAATAAAAATTTAAAAAAAAATACACTTTGTCGCGTGCGATATAGGTGAGGTGTAAAACCACTTACCTGTAGTTATCGGTGCGTATACCAAACCCGAATCGATTTCGACCGCTGGTAGTACCCGCGGTCGAAATCAGTAACCTATACCTACTCCGTCGATATAATATGTATTATTATCTACACAGCGCATTTTTATAACAATAATATTTTACTCTATCGGTTTTGATAGGAGGTATATACGTATTATATGCGTCTTGTCTCGAGTAAATAATAATAATAATTACGAGTAGGCGTGTTTATAATAATAGGTCGTGCATACATTGCGCAGCGTGTGCTAAATCAGCCGAAAATCTCAATTTTTCTCTCTAGTATCTATTATAAATGTAATTATTATTTTTCCCTCTACATTAAGTACGGTCAACATTATAATAATATTGTAATTTTTGATTAAACAACGGTGTTTTGAAATCCCTATATTTAATAATATAATATCATATTATATATCATATTATCGTATTATGATACCATGCTTATAATTTTAGTACGTATACTAAATAATAATTTTTGTATTTATATAATATATACTAGCTATCCCGCCCGGCTTTGCCTGTGCCCATTTTTCATTATTATTTTTTACCCATATTCCTTTTTGGTTTATGTGAGCATTGGTTGACAATTTTTTTACCTTTAAATTTGATAATAGGCAAACAAATTCTAATATTAAAACTAACATCAAAAAATCGATTTTCAAATCATACAAAATGTATAAATACGATATTAACAGAGTTTACAGTATCAACCGTAACATATAGGTATATTTGAATTTTTACTTTAAAAAAATATATTTAATGATTTATTTATAACTGAAGAAAAAAAAAGCTATTTTTCCAAAACCACGGTGTTCAATTAACCTACGACGATTTTCATTGATCAAAATACTATTTTATTTCTATTCAAGAGTCTTAGGTTACCGACCTCCAATTCTACAGATACATGTATAATATTTTATAGGCAGTTGATATAATTCGTTCATCAAACCGTCATAAACTATGTGATTCATTAGATAATAACGTAACATTTAAATCGCATTATAATTATCTCTAGAATAAAAATAATATTTAAAAACTGTTTACCATCAGAGTTCGACATTATCTAGTGTTTTTATTTTATAGCCAGTAGTTTAATATCTACCTATATATTTTACCCATATAAGAATATTATAAATAAGAAGTGCCGAGATGTCTAGCTACCCGGGTATATACATACCTGTACGACCAGATGCGTTTGTGTTATAGCGGAGATCATGATAATAATATTATTATTATTATTATTATTATAATCATAACCCGAGCACGCCGCCGTTAAAAAATAATATAACGGTGATAATAATAAAAATAATTGTCGACACTGCAGTTAGTATTGCTCGTGTTGAATTTCAATTCAGACCGCATGCTCTGCAGCCGATACTCTCTTTGAAGTGATGGTACAAAAAAAAACTTATTGCCGATTGGACGATGATAATAATAATATGACGTAGTCTCATGCCCGCGAACTTTTAAACTGGAATTATTTTCCAGTTTTCATTACCGGTTCCCGGTTTATTAATTTATGTTTTTTTTTCGCTTTTGGAGAAATCCTGTTTTTGTTCATTGCGCGTGCAGTCAAGATAATAATAATTTCTATATAGTATACACTTCGAAATCACGACGTTTCGCAACTATTAAATCGCCCGATAATCATCATCGTCATTATAAACATAAGCGGGCTATATTATTATCGGGTGTAATACAAAACACACGCGACGATCCGAAGGAATATACAATATTATCTCGAACATTATACGTGTATATACGAATCGAATGGTTTAATACAATAACCAGATAGTACCCATAATAAAGGAAAGAGGCACCTGGGCGACCGGATAAAGCTGAGAATGATTTAGAATGCTTAGGAGTGAGAAACCGTTTATAAAGAAATCGGCATTGATATTGAGACAGACAGAAATAAGTATACTATGTGATGTCGGTGTTTGGGCTAAATGGCCTATAAATCTGAAGTAAGAAGAGTCAGTAAGTTCCGACTTTTAGCAAAATTCATGTTTGGTGATTTCCGATAGAGATTAGTGTCCGTAAGCGATTAAACAACATTTTAGATGATTTCAGTAAAAAATCCTTACTTGACTTTATCTCTAAACAACATATTTACAATTTTATGTAACTATAATACGCATCACTAAGTAATATTTTTCTCGATTCGATCTAAAATATTATACGGTCTCAGGTCCGAAATTCGAAGGATTTTCTAGTATCTTTCTCTTTCTGTCTCTCTCTCTTTCTCTTTGGACACCCTGACCTAAGCGGCTCGGTCGGACGACGAGGAAGTCTTATCATATTACAATAATTTACTATTATTATTTTATATATTGCAATAAAAAGTTTGACAATGCCGCTGAAACAATATTAATATATAGTCACGTGAGAACTGAGAACTACGTCGGGTTGCTTTCGAAAAAAAACAACTCTCGGCCGTCACCACCGCCGATCAGAACTCTAAACTAAAGAACAAAACAAACGTTTACGAATTTATAATATTGTTTTAATTATTATTATTACTAGTACGATTTCACAGAGTATATTATAATATAGTTGCCAAGTCGTCACCGTGAGATTTGACATATATTAAAATGGAATCGTCGTTCGTGTGGTAAATGCACTTGTTGTACCTATACGAACACTGCGTCGCGCAATTGTGACCGAAAAGCGAAATATAATTATTATTATTTTTACTTAAACATGAACAATCCAAATAATATACTTGTCGAAAACGAGATTGTATATTGTAGTATGTATTACAAAAATCATTCGAAAGGCAAACAAAATATATTTTTTTTAATTTCCCATGACTTTCAACACGACGTGGTTTTTCATTTTAATTTTTACAAGCGAATTCAAGGATATTTTCAATTTTCGTAACAAATTTTTCAAAAACCCTAAAATTGCGCAAAATCGTTAAATCTAAATAATGTGCAAAAAACAGCTTATTGAACATACAAGTACTCCACACGAACAACCTACAATAAAACTACACGTTCGGTACCTCGTAAATATTACGACTTTTACGCGTATAACCGAATTCCGCTCAGAATCGTTCTTTGTTAGCATTGATTAATCGTTGCGTACATCCATACATCCATATCCGAATCTTCCCATACATATCCTGCCTTCCCAACTTCTCCCCTACAACAGTGTCCCCCCCCATCAAAAGTATATCAATCTTTTTATTATTATATCTGTTTGATATAGTAAAATACGACATCGTATTATCGCTAATTACCTGCCCTATTCAATAGCTACGAGCTGACGGATCTTCGTACGAAGCTCGATCGAACGTCGGCCAAATCCGGCTCTGCCCGTATGATGCAGAAAAGCGGGGGGCAAACTATATAGTGTCGATTTTCCACCGGATCTTGGTCACCGATCACCTGGCCCGGAGCGTTCGGATTGCACAACAAACGCGCGTGTCACATATATTATAAATATTATAAAGAAACAATAATTATTGTATTATTATTGTTATCCGACGGGCACGACGATGACGCGTGTTGACGTTACGACAACGGAAGTGGCGTCGTCGCATTTCTCTCGGCCGTATACGCGCGTTCGCGTATAACCGCGCGCGGTAGTGATATGGCGACCTTGAAGTCGATCGTGATGGTCAAAAGCGTGTATGCCCTCCAGACGACGAATGTTGCTGCGGTAATAACAATAATAATAATAATAATAATAATAATATAATATAATAGCAGCTCGGCTAGAAAGTAAAAACTATACGATTGCGGCGGCGTTTCTCGCGCGATACGTCCAGCGGCAGCAGCAGCAGCAGCAACAGGCTCTGGCAGCGAGAGAGTGAAAGCAACAGGTGGACAGCGGCGGTGGATTCGACGGACACTCGTCGTGGAAAAAAAAAACGCACGCGCGATATCATTCGTCATATTATTATTACTAACATTGTTATTATTGCTGTTATTTTGTTATTGTGTGGGCAGTGTGCAACGCGACGACGTCGTGAATATTATCGCCGTTACTGTCGTAGTAACGGCGGCGTGCACGGATAATAATGTCGTTATTATTATAAAATTATTGTACGCGCTGCAAAGAAATAGTGAATAGAAGTACAACACGGACGGCGGTGTGACAGAGTTTGTGTAATACGTTTTTCAAATTTGTGAGCCTCGGCATATGCGCGTGTCCGCGTCATCGTCACTGCCATCCGAGGGCGTCCCCGTGGACCGGGGTTCGCAATATTATTCGTCGTGTCGTGCGAAATTGAATTAGTTGGCGTTCTATGGCGCGACGGTTGCTTATGACGATAGTATGCAAATAATAAATAATATTATTATTATTATTATTTTTTTTTTTTTTTGGGGGGGGGGGGGGGTTTCATTCATTGAGACCATACCGCCAAACAAATTCCTCTCCATCCATTTATTTCTTCTGCTGCTACCCTCCACGGTATATCTGGTCGAATCTTTCCCACGTCCGCTTTCACACAGTCTTCCCAATGTAATCGTGGTCTTCCCAGTGGCCTCTTACCGATAGGATTCTCCTCGATAATCGAATTACTTAAAAATAAACTATTGAGCCTATTTTTCGCCACGCATGACTTGTCCACATCAGCCTCCTCTTTTTAATCTCTTTTGTAATTTCTGGTCTTTTAAACAGTTCTTCAACTTCACAGTTGTGACGTTTACGCCACTTTCCCGTGTGGGTGTCGATGCAGGGGCCTCCTAAGAATTCCCCTTCGAAAAATTTTAATCTTGTTTTCTCCATTTTTCTTAGTGGGTATATAGTTTTCTGATGCATATAGTATTATAGGTCTTATAAGGATCATATATATCTGTATTTTCAGGTTAACTGATGATATAGTTCTTGAGCTCAATATTTTTCCAAGGTCAAAAAAGGTCCTATTACCCTTAATATATAATAATAAAACGGATATCCAGTATTAATCTCACAATCGACGACCTGCTATACCAGAAACAGCTCTATCGCAACTTCCGGTAACGTAGACACGATCAAAATGTATCTACTACGATAATATTGTAAGCCAATAGTATTTCACACGCACGACGAGTTGAGAACGACGCCTAAGTGCACAATCATTACTTTACTCGGGTATAGTATCCCGGTGCCGATTCTGCAGTTCCAAAATGTATACGGCCGCGTGGCACCCTTAGAAATTAATATTGTTTGCAGTGTCTTAAGTTTTAAAATCTGCAGAGTATCAAGGAAGAACCAAGGAGAGCCAAGGAATGTATAATATGTGGTTTTATGTGTGTTATGTAGTTTTTCAGACTACACCAGTGAGCAACCAGTATTTTTTCAAGAAAAGAGGTCCAAAGATTTATTTTTTCACAAAACTGTTAATTATTTCTCCACAGCAAATTCCAAATTAAATAGACTATGTGTACAGTCTATACGACAGGATCCAAAGGAGAAAAAGAGGGGACTACGATTGGATATTTTAAACTTAATGTTACCTTAATGAGGTAGGCCTTATTCTCAATACTTGCCACCTACAAACAGTGGCTTACCAGTAGTGCTGGTGAAAAATTTGAGGAACCCTTGGCAATCGCTGTAGCCTCATTGTGGAACCCTTATATAGTTTTCATAGAACGGCAGAACACACACTCTGGAAACCACTGCTCCGTAACCGATAAGCTTTATTCGTCGTCAAAATCTGTCCAGAAATCGAAAAAGTTAATTAATTTCTGTGGTTATTTTTTTGTTGTATTACATATTATGTTTTCAATTTCTCTTATCGTTTGTCCGTTGAAAAATGCAATCGTCGCCGTATCGATATAGGTACCTATATAAGATTAGATTAGATATAGAGAAATCGCGTTTATATACCTATATGTGTGTATACGCGCCGTTGTCGAATTTATTTATTATCCAATCGTATAAAAAAAAAAAACCATGTCATTCCGACATAACTTCCTAACATGTACAGTTCTTTCCCTAACAAAAACTTATTACCTATTAGATATCAAGATACATAGCTGGTATTGTATGCATTTCACTGAAAAAAAAACTATACAATTATTACTATTATATTATATTATATTATAAAGTAACTTTTTACATATTTATATACGACAATTAATGTGAACGGCGTAAATACTTCTGCTACGCACATTTAGAAATAATAATCGTGATTATGTAATACGTAACAGGTAATATCAATGAATGAATATAATAATCAAATTATAATTTGATACCATACTCGATGATGTTGATGTCCTCTATTAGTATATATATATATATGTATGAAAACATATCGAAACCGTTCTGTTTTCAAACTATGCGAATAAGTAGACTGCTGCAGCAGTTAAAAAAAAAAACACCAGAGTGTACCCAAATACCTACTTAATAAAATATAATAATATACTTGCAGTATGCTGCTGCAGTCGTTGACTTTTTTTTTATATAATAATTATTCTATGGTTACCAACACAATTATTAAAAACGCGCTCCGCACGAAACCCGTCGTCGTATAATTCGTTCGTTTAATTGATGAGCAAATCACCTCCGGCTGATTCCTTGACCAATTTGATAATAATATTATACTTAACAGTTAAGCAATACACAGTAATAATATTATACGTTCTTTGCACGTACTCGATGTTGGTCGTTATTTTATTTACAGTATACCTATACTGTATATACCTATATATAATATCACTAGTTCGTGATCATTTTATGTACCGTATATCATATATATTATTATGTTGTATACTATAGTGTGGAGGATTTCTTGCGGTTAGTTCGTCATAATATTATTGCTTATAAGTCAAAGCAGATGACAGACCACGCGTTACACTCGTTTTATCTATAGATAACACGTTGAAACCAACATGATATATGCGAGAGACATAGACTCATATTGTAGACTTTTTCAATCAGATTATAGAAAAAATATAATTAATTGAGAATAATTGAGCACGAGATCAGATAATTCGAGAAGCGACAAAATGGATGTCTAAAGTGTAACCTTTTCAAGTAGAACGACCACTAGGATGGTCAAAACAAAAGTCAATGACTGTGTAAATGCTAGGAGTACTATACGGCGAATAATTAGTAAATTAGAGAATCATAGAGAGGCGTGATAAATGTAACGAAGCGAACCTGAATGGCTTCTATTAAGTCATGGAAGAAAAAAGAAGAATTGAATATCTTGACAAAATTGCATACATTTTAAACACGGACTAAGATACAATAATGGACTGGTATCAAAAAGTTTATCAGTGACATTAAATTGGCATACAAGAGACAATTAATTATGGGGGCTGACTACTATGTAAACTGTTGATTCACATTCTATAATATCTAATGATTCTAACAGAGTTAATAATCTGCTTCTTTCATGAGTTTATCGGCTTTCAAAACCATCCCATCACACATTTAATCCTTAAATTCTCGTCAGCTGATCTTATATCCTTTCAACTTTTGACTCTCCATTTACAGATTCTAATTCTATACTAATCACATCTTCCCACCTTAAACGAGGATATTCAAAGGTCTTTCATTTTCTCTTCCATTAACCATGGTTAGATGCATAAAAGTGGATTTCGACTTCGCCAAGCATGGTTTATAACCATACCGATACCCGTCCATTGCATCTTGAATGATTTTAATTTGTTTGAACGTTATTCTTAATAGAACCTATTCAATATCGTATCTTAATTATTATCGAAGATTGTTATACAACCGCAATTTATAATCTCATTTAAAAAATCTTAAAACTAAAAACTTAAAGTCTGTTTCTTCTCATTCATGACAGTAATACTATTAAGTATCTATTTAATGTTTACTAATGTTGTAGTCTATCTATTATAACTTATAAACCTATGGTGTATTGACTATGCAGTAATAATAACATATCACGACGGAGCCAACAATGTTGCGTATGTTATGTACCACCTACTGAATTTTTCTAAAAAGTTGTACATAAATATTGAATTACATATTATTATAATATCTTTATATAAGTACTCGAACATTTAAATACAACCTTATAGTAATAACACTATAATACTATATAATCCGACCGCGTGATCTACATTTAAAACGCATAATATATATATATATATATATATATATAGAAACTTTCACGTTTTACACAATCTAGTAATAATATAAACTGCATCTAGTCGAATAAAAGTAAAACTCGACAATCCGTTTTTGTGTAAGAATAAACCTGTGCAGGCGCGATTTAATTAGAAAGGGAAAGATCGAAATAAAAATACGAGCAGTATACTCGTCATATAATACGCGATTTGTATAATTGGTCAATTTTTACATTTTCGAGTTATAATTCATACGAACGCGATAAGTAATATAATACCAATATCGCGTATTTGTCTATCAAATCAATGTGTTAAATAACTTTAATTATATGAACATATTATTACTGATCAATAAAGATATTAGTAGTTTTGAATTAATTTGGATTAGCTATTTACTTATCTAAACGAAATAAGAATTTCCATTGTCAAAACGATATAAAATAATAATTCGTACATCATAATAAGGGTATTATAATATATAGTAGATATAATATAATATAATATTATAGATAATAGAGGAACTTAACTAGCAAAACTTATACCTGAGTCGACCAAATAGATATTTTTTTGAATACTGCATTCAGCCAAATCAACATAGATAAAAAAAAAAAAAAAATTCGATGTATACATAATATATTCTCATATTTATTTTAATTATAATAATTTAAATGCAAATTTCATACTGTTGAAACTCGAATAGTGTGTACATATAACGTATAAAATTGAATTTTAAATTTTGATACCTTGCAGGAATGAAATATACGTACAATAATTTTGGGGTCAATTACACGGTGAAAAATTATCATTGTTGTTCAGAATATTAATCGATAAAAAATGTAATTTTTGTTTTTTAAAAATTTGACGGATCATCATTTTAATAACCGTTTTCACTGATCTTCTCTGCGAAACACATTTTCCCATCTACTTGCTGCTGCTGATGCTGCAATTACGTGTCTACCTGATCAATTGTTACTGTGCGGTCAAAATGTGTGCAGGCGAATGAAAGTATTTTAGCCTAAATACGTTCAATATGAAATCGAAGGTGATTATAAAGTGTACAATATAATTTGTACACAAGAGGAAAATAATATTATACTAATTGAGAGCATTCCGAACGCTCGAGTGATACGTTACTAACGTAGTGATACGTTTTGTCGATGATGGTAACTGGAAATGTAAATCAAATAACAGTATTTTTGTAAACCCCCATCTTGTGATTAACGATAAACGACAGTTTCACAAAAATCTCCAATTTTTTTTCATTTCGAATGAGTGTATTGAAGAAGTTATTAAGGTAATTTTATCAAGATGCATTTTTTTCCCTCGGCAAACTGCACTATTTGATAAGTAAAAATGATCCAAAACGTTTACATCTTTATACCTTAAAAGAATCTGATATAATTATGTTTTCAAAAACTGTCGACAGAATACGACCAAGTCCATTAGGTTTTTATCAACAAATTTATACAGCTCAAAAAAAGGAAAAGTTAGATTTTCAAATTTAATTTTCTACACTTTGGATTCACGCTTGAATTTTGGCCCTCTCTTCCTGAGTTCCTTTGGTTATGGAGGGAAAAAATGTTATCCATCCTATAACCAGTTCACCAAACTCCGTTAAAAATCGTTTTTTATCCCGGCTTATCGACTTCCCACTATTTTTTGTGTTATACTTGACTACCTATATATATATATATATGTTTTATATTCGATCGAACCCCGCGATTTTGTCCGCGTGCACTGTAAAACAGGTATATAGTATAAAAAAAAATATATACATAATACAGACGCGCAATTTGTACTCCACTGCAGGTACGAGTTGTTCACTACTAGGTATATAAACTCAATACGTGGGTAAGTCCCAGACATCCAAGACTTGAGGTCGAATCGTCCAGTGTAGTACTGCAGTGTACACGCGGGGTCCGTGGATAAATGTTCAACAAAATATATACACGTCGGGTTTGGATTGAATCCAAAAAAAAATATCGGACGATCGTTTATAAGTATTGGGTGTTAGATTTTGATGTCGTGCCAGAAAGACTGCTGCTGCAGGCATGCAGTATGTTCGCAAGCCGCCGGATAACTGGCTACCGAATTATACTCGATAATGGTTTCACTTAGGACCTCAGAACGGTTACAAGGGATGTGGATACTTTTCTCCAAAAATATTTTTTTAATCGATTCAATTTTTTTCAATATTATGATTTGATAATGATTGATTGATTGATTTATTTGATTATGATATGATAATATTAAAAATATTTAAGAAGTATGTATCAGTATAAAAATTCCTATAGAAATTGTTTTTACGGATTTTAATTTTAAAAATAGATTTGTATTAAAGAATACAAATTTAGATTCTTTAGATTCTTCGCTAAGATTTTTAAAAAGAAGAATTTCAACGTATCCTAGTTAGGAATCCAACGAATCATAAAACGCTTCCAAATTGAAATCCGTCAAATTTAATTCTAACAGTTTTGTCTAACTTTTTGGTATAAAACGTTATATTCGTCCATAAAAATGGCCCTTTAAATGAATATCGGCAGAAGATCACTAAGGTGGACATTGAAATGAAAACAACGTTTACAAATTTTAACGAGTTTCCTTTAACGAGTTAAATTCATAGCTTTTAACTTTATTAATTGCATGTATTAACAAAAAGCTTTTTTTTTTTAAAATTTAACAATAACTTAAGAAACTAAATTGTTTTCATTATCTCGACCACACCTTTAAAAATATTATACGCATCTAGGTTTCGATTTCGAGATTTCATGTTGCCATACCAAGGTGTAACTTGCACATTTATATGAGTAATTATTACTATCGTGTGCGGTATGATATTTTATAAATACAAAGTGTAATAATAATTACGTATAGTGTACCCTTGAAATTAAGTATACTTGTATTATTATCGTATGTGTGAAGATTCTAGAGTGCATTATTAAAAAACAAAATTAAATACGATAAATACGCGCGATAATATTAAATATCTGTTATCTTTGCATTGTTCTATACTAATCATTATGATATTATATTATTATGTTTACCGAATACTGGCACCCAATAGCTAGTTTAGCTAGTTGTTTTAAATCGAAAAACCTGTAAGCATATTAAACCTAGGTACACAAAGTGTTTAATTTGCCTCGGTGTAATAACACACGCGAGTTCTTAATTATTATTAATTTTTCTACAAGGCATAAAACGTAATCGGATAGTAGCAATGAACTAGTGTATACACACACACACACACACAAACACACACACATATATATTAGGGTTTAATTCCATTTCCAATTATTAAAATTTTCCGTGATGATAAAACCCGGGTTCGCGCTAAAATTAATATAAACTATAATTATATATATATATATTTTTTTTTTATAATTTATTCAAATACATAAATCATAATACTGTTGCAGATATATTATAGAAGTTGTTGTATAAATATAACAATATAAAAAAGAAAGCACCGTAGTTGAATGCAAACACTGCGCGAAAAGTCTGCTATAATAATATTATTATACTCTTGTTCTATAATAATCAATTGTCCACGGGTGGCGTAGGAGTGGATATTATGATACGAACACACATGCGTATAATATAATGTACGATAGTCGTGACTTTAGCGCCCATATTTGCCGTATCCGCTAAAGAAAATAACAATGACACTATAGCTCGTAAGTCGTATAATCGTATTCCACGACGTGGTGGTCATTACGGTTGTTTCGCACTCGATCATGACACGCCGCGCACAAAATCAGACTGTGCGGTGAGATATCATCACCATCCCTAGATATTTATACACTCCGAAGAAGTTTCGGATACAGTCACGATACGGTTTGCGACTTTTCGTTCCCTTTGCTGTTATTTTAATATACAAAATAGCGATCCACGAATATTAGTTACAGATTCACCAATCAGAATGCATTATTATGCTGTTGTAGACACTATCTTACTATTGTTATCTACATTATATACAGATATATCCCTGAAGTGGGTACTAAGGTGACCAAAAAATAAAATATAAATACGGGACACTTAAAAAGACAAATTAAACGTGATGTATAAGTATAATGAACAATAAGTAAACATAACTATAAGATCACCGATTTTAATCCAATTAGAACAAAATAAATTTGTACTGTATGAAGAGTTTTAGTACAAATAAAAAATGTATGTTTAAATTAATATTTATATTCATACTTTTGTACTGAACAAAATAATATCACAAGCACACCAAATAAATTTTAAAAAATATACATTATAACAGTAAAGGAAAAAATAGGATTAATTAGGGTAGATATGAAGAATATAGGAAAAAATGCAACCCGTATAACTTTTATCGGAACAACGGGACACAAAGTTGAAATATGGGGCAATCCCGTATAATACGGCACATATTTATAGTCGCCCAAATGTATACGCTAAAAAAAAGTTCTGAAGACGGTCGTGCGTATCACATGCGAAGTTATTTTCGATAATTTAGACGATAATAACTCGGCAAATGAAAGCCAATCGGTATACAAGATCACTTGTTGAAATTTCGTCCGCGCGAAAAAAAGACGAACAAGGAAATTCAGGTGTGCGAAGCGTGAAAAATCTGTGTTTATATCTACGGTTGTATAATAATATTACATCATATCGTATGATAGCAGTCACAGTCAAAGATCTTCTTTCCGGTCTAAGCACGTTAACATCATTATAATATGATATACAGAATTCCACCGACGCGCATTTAATTACTATTTTTTTTTTCTATATTATCTTCACGCACTTCCCCCATTATCAACGCTACTTCATGTGTACGTACTTACTTTCGCGGATAGTGTCCGCTTGTGTTTCCTTAAAGATTTACTTAATTACTTTTACATAATGTTTCAGTTTGACGATCCAGGTGCGTTATTCCGAATGACCACCGTCAACGACAAACGACGCCTGTGAAGCGCCTCCCCCCCCAGCACCACGCCCATCCGGCCCGGAATCGTCGCCATGGTAATACTATCGACATGGAATTTTATCAGCATAACAGCGTTCGCGTCGCAAATTTTCGCCAACACGGTAAATATAACCTATATGGTTCAAATATGCTATCTATTATAATTATACAATATCAATTTACACTTACTATAGGTCCAGAAGTATAATATTTAACGTCCCCCAACATTTTTTCAAATAGTGAAATGTGATTGATCTCTTCAATTAATTGCGTTTTTTAATGTCATAACGGTTTTTGATAAGGTGCCATAGACCTTCGCGATAGAGTATTCGCTTGAGTAACTGATCAATATTTTTGATGATTTACTGTTTTATGAATATATCCTTTTATTCAATATAAATATAAATTATATACTTTATGATCACCATTTATTCGAATGTATAGTTGTATGTTCTATATTTATGTATTACTTTTTTTATTATTGGTGGTAATGAGTTCTTATCTCGTCTTTTTACTAAGAAGGGCTAATAAGTAATTTTTAATAATTTTTTTAAAAAAAAACATGGGAAAATGACGGAAATTATGGAATTTTGGAAAACTAAGAAAAATTACGATACAGTTATTGTATAGTTTCGGAAAATTCTGGAAAAAATTGTAAATGTATATATATATATAAAAAAAAACGCCAGACTTAAACCATTCTTCTTTGGGACCAAAGAAATAGTTTCAGATTGCAGGGTATAGATACCGTATTGAACGTATACACATTTATAGGTGAATAAAACAATACCTGCAAGTACCTGGTACACGGCATATTGAACGACTGCCCAATAATATAATATTCTATACGCACGCGAGTCCGCACAAAGACATTGCAACACGCGGTCGTTTATTATATTATTTATATAATGTACGTAGGTACTTATAACGATAATAGTGATAGTAATAATATATGTAAAACGGTTGAACTTACAGTCGGGTATATGTCGTGCGAGGGGATTTATCGCGTTCACTCGCGAACAAAAGGCAAATTAAACAAAACCCAGGCGACAGCCGCGGACCCGGCGCAACGAAATTGGTTCATACCGCCGCGGGTATCTAACGACGTAAAAAAACACACCGATTTTATATTTTTCTAACATTATAATATTAAACACGACGACTTGTTGCTGTCTGCCATTGCGACGGCAGCAGTGCGCGTGCACGTGTTTTCTCGTTTTTTTTTTTTTTTTTTAACAATACGGGTTGACCGGGAATATTTTTTACGCAAGTGAATTACTTTATTACAAACACACTGTTGCACTATTGTATAATCGATTTGATCGAAATACGACACCGCGCGACAATGTCAAAAATGAAAACCGGGGTCCGTAAATTATCATTATTATTATTATTATAAGATTTCGTACTTAATATGGTATACCTCTATACAAATTATAGCGATCGCCGCCGTAATAATTGATCGGCGGTGGTACCGGCGCGCCCGATTGCGTCAAACGCGAGTTGCGCGTTCTTACACGTCATGTTATATCATTTTAATTTGCCCGCAATATGCGCGGTGTTCCGGTTTCGTGAGGTCGGATTATTAATCGCCGCGAAAACGATCAAACGATCTTGTACCGCGTTTTCGTTACTGTACGGACGTGAACGTATAAATAGTAATGCTTTGGAAGGCTTAATCCCGCACATTAGACTTTGAACTTTCCGAAGGGTTAAAATTATAACCCTCGCTTATCCATAGACATGCCTTTATTGCTAAAAAAATAATAATAATAATGCATGAAGGGTTTAAAAACAAAACATTAAGTGGAAGACACTGCAGACGGAAGAAAATTCAAGGGTCGACCTAAACAACAATGATGAATGGAACGGATAATTCCGAAATTTCTAGATGATTCACATGGTAATTGGTAATACATACATCTATTGCGTTTTATTGTCGTTACATTAATTTTCACGGGAATTGTTATTTATTCGACCGCCATGACCATGAGGTCATATAATTATTATATTAAATAGTCACCCAATACCCGAACAGCAGGGTTGAGAACCGTCACGAATCACGACTACAAAGAAGATATATTCTTTTATTTACTCTTACGAAAAATACCGCGAAAATATCCGTCTATTTATTATATCTGTGTAATTCCCCACACGAAATATCGCAGGCACGCGTCTACGCGACGATGTTTGAGAAGTTACATCGCATGTAGTTATAAGATAATAAAAATAATTTCAGTCGTCGACTCGATTATTGTCACGATTTAAGGCGTCTCGAAGCACCGTGCGTCGTCGTCGTCGATTAGTCAATTATTGCCTATTATTGTTTCAAGGTTTACACACGAATAACATAATATTATGACGGCGGTGGCATTTAAAAAACATTGCAAAAATAATGATTTTCCATTTCAATGGCTCGTGCCGGGCCTGATGAAACAGCGACCAGCCACGTTTTTTTAAAATTATTTCGTTTAGAATACATAATATTATTTATTTTTTCTGAATTATTATTATAAAATTAGAATCAGTCTGCAACTCCTCCGCCGTGGTACGGTTTCAATCAATTAATATGCATCAATAATATATTTCTCCCGAGCAACAAAAAACATCAAAATTATAATCCATCACACAGTATTGACAAATTATTTAATCGATATTGGTCAATTGTAGTTAGATATATTATAGATGTGTGTAAAAGTAAGTATGTGTGTAATACACAGAGGAGCAAATAACCCAAATATTTTGAGAGGGGGGTCTCAGACCCACATAATATTGATTTTATGAGAATAAATTTCCACGCTATTGTTATTTGTGGCACTATACGCTTGTATAGTGTTTTCTGGGGATTGATTTTAATTTTTTTCTCGACGAAGACGATGTGTACAAATAAAATTATTATCTATCTACCGACCACTGCAATATTGCTGTATCGCAATAACAATATAAACTATTATGGTAAATATGTGTACGCGGAAGATCATTAATAATATAATATAATTGAAGGCCTCGCATGAAAATACGCCCATAGGTTATACAATTTTTATCTATAAAAGAATATTTACGCGTATTTGATAAAAACCTAAAACAAAAAAATACATGAAAAATGATATAAACACATTAGAAATGACGTAGGCGTAACGTAAATAGTTTACTAACTTTTCGTTTTCGGACTACGTTCGTTCCCAACATTTATCGGTTAAAAGGACGTTTAATATTGAATTATTCGAAACTGCGGTCGACCGTTCAAAATTATAAACGCATAATACATACAGAGTGATTGTTTTATTACGAACCGACGATTATCTACGAAGATCCCCCCCCCCTGAATTTTCAAAAAATATATTAAAAATTGAGTGATTATACGAAAATGAGAGTAATTGTTGTGAATTTCTTAATAAGTATCAAAATAACTGTGGCCACAGTATTTTTGAAGATACTAAATTCGTATAAAATTTAATTTTAATTTATCGAATAACTCGTAGTACTAATATACTATTATTATAATATCTTTTTTCCATAAATACTAATTTTTAAGTATCTTGCCCATCCCCGTTAATATGTATAGTTAATTAATAACACTGAAATATCGTTTAAACGAATTATATATCTTTTCTTTCATCTTAACGATATATTAAAGAAGTAACTACGTAAATATAGTAATAATTTCCTCTATATTTTACACTGTTACAGTGTTTCTGATAATAGTCATGTCAAGCGTATCTTAATTATAGAAAAACATTTTCTTTTCTTTTTAATTTTAAGTTTGAAATTATTAGGAACGAAATTGTTAAGGTTCTATGTCTGAAATCTGAAAAAACCAAAATCAAACATACTGAACATTTTATATAGATAATTGCTGATTCATGATTGACATGAAAGATAAAAATTTGTACCAAACCGAAATATTTTTGCGGTCACAAATTCGCACCCAATCACCATTTAATAGAAGTACAATAACTAATGAACCAAGGATTCACATCTTTTCATTCAACTTGGGCCAAAATAAAAAAAAATCAATTTCATTTAACTATGAACTTTACATTAGATTTTTGGAAAGAAAATTATGTATTTCAACTTTCAATTTTTAAATTTGTTGTTCTGCTACATTATCTTCTAGAGAAATATCTCAAAAGTGTTCTTCCTCTCACTATCCTCAATGATTATAACATACTTTTCACTTCTTTCTTCCTCACTCTTCAAACGCATACCATTTTCATTTATACGATGTATTGATTATGTTAACGGTCACAACATGGCCCAATCCGTTCAGCGACTATAATATGTATAATATACTGTTATAGTATTATCAGCTCCTCAGTGGCGGAGTGTCGTATAATGAAATGATTATAATATTATTACATATAGGTACTATTTTGTTGGTTTTTCGAGTCCTTGGACTATGTGTCCTATTATATAGGCGTACGGTGAAATATATAGGATGTACCTATTGTACACACCACGTACAACAATCGACACGTATACGATCCGTAACACCAACTGCAGCAATAGGTGTACGCGTGCCGATGTGGTTCTCGACCTTACAAGCCGAGGTCATTCTCTGCGTTTTCGACCGTAATCCGTCATCGCTCGCCGGGAGGACAGACGGAATGATGACGTTTTCTATTGTCCAGGGTTTTTCGTCTATATTTTTTTTTTCTGTTATCGGTAATAAATACCTAATAATAATATTCCGTGTGGTTTGTCGACCGTATAATTCAGAGGCGGCTGCCGCGGGCTGCAGCAGCAGTCAGTAATATAACCACCCCAAACAATGGTCGGCTCAGGACCGGGGCTAATGAACCTATCGGTGGCGCGTGATCCGAATCACTAAAATATTGTCAGCGGTGAGAGACTTTAACGCCGTCATCGACATTTTGAAATCAAATCAGTAATAACGCACTAACACATAATGGAAAAATATTTTCGAATTTCATATTAAATTGTAATAACCGTTACCCCGCAGTAAAGAACACGAAGAGATAGAACACTTTAAGTTTTTTCTTTTTTGAACAATAATAATATACAATTAAAATGCGCAAATATACAAATAAAATGAAATAGAATTTTTTTTGTTCTTTTACGTCATTAACTTAATTTTAAAATGATGAAACGTTTTGTTGGGCAAAACGATTCCCGCCCGTCGGAAGTCGTGTTTTTTATTCTCATTAACTGATTTTTTTTTCATTTTTCTCTTTCCATCTCGTTGGAATCGTTATACAACCAGCTGGATGCGTTTTTAAGTAACTTAAAGTGTATCTGTTGCACGTAACGACCGTCACGAAAATTAACATTTCGCGCGGTTGATGGAAAATAGTTTTTGAAAAAAAAAACCCCATAACTTCATACAGGAATACTACAAAATACGTATACTAAATCGAATCGACTACATTGCGTGATTTTTTTTTTTTTACAATGCATGAGCGAAATTTTGCCAACGACATCCACGACCGCGCCAAATCGTGACCGAAGCCTCCGCGGTGACAACGTTATAATAATTATTTTGTTCGAACGCGATTCCAATCGAAACGAATTTCTATTATTCCACATATTACAAACGCTCGACAAACATATTTCATTATAATATACTCGTAAAAATAACTATTTGTCTGTTTTATTTGTTAACAGTTACACGAGCACATGAACATAGACGACCTGAGGACGGTATTTCACGTGGAACACCATTCGGAAGGTAATATTATGACTCGAAAAATCACATTTCCTGTCTATATCATACACGTAACAGTGATTGGTCACGGTGTATAATAATAATCGCATAATGGAATTTATTAAGGAAATATCATATTCCCTGTCATTCTTTATTTCCCGGGATAATTCCCAGTTACGTTTATTGATTTGCCGAAAAATTGTTGACGGTCTTATCGTAATATTCATACCTTTATTTAACGTTAAATAGTAAATTGTAATATTGTAACAATATTATGTAATTCGTTGACTGTCAGTAGAATTAACTTATTATATACGCTGTTTGGAATGTTTGTAATAAATGTCGAAAAAAACGATTTTTAATTCGAAATATACTAAATTGAAAATCGCGTAGAGAAGTTCAATTATTTAAGATTTAGTAAGGTAAGATATTGAAGATATTGTGGTGGATGTATAAAGTAGAATCAGGTATGGCTGGACGAAGTCGAGGGAAGCGAGTGAATAATGGTGTGTGTGAAAAAAAGGTATCAATTAAAGAGAAATATTGTAAAACTGTTGTGATTTATAAGGCCAACGATGATATACAAGGGATGAATTGGACATTGAATAAAAGTGATTAGAATATACGTGAGAAGACAAAGATGGAATTCAATTTAACGTGCACACTGGGTGAATGTTTGATGTAACCCCCGGCTGTGAAGATGGAAGCCAAGGATGAGGTAAGCCAAAGAAAGTGTCCGGAGGTTATATTGTAGAAAAAATGAAGGGTATATGATCAAATGGATGAAGAAGTGATAGTTAATAAGAAGATGAATAGAAATGCATAGAAATCAAGAAAAGAGTTCATAGATCCACTTGCGTGCAGGATGATAAAGGCAAAGAGAAATAAAATTGTAAATATAGTAAATTGCTGGTACTTTTTTTAAATGTAGGTACCTGGGAAAAATTCCGGAGTGAATGATTATAGAATAATTTTTACTTCACTGCGACCACCGAAAAATTATTATGATGTACTAACATAATATAATATACCGAGGTATGTTTATCCGATAGTGCCTGCATACGAGGTGGTCAGCCCGCATATGATATCCAAACGAGATGCGGATGGAGCTCACAAAGTTCGACTAAAGGCGTTCGGCGAACACCACGACCTGAAATTGGAGCCGTCCGACAGATTGTTGACAGGGGACAAACTACGAGCCTGGACTGCCCATCACAACTCTACCACAGACACTGTACATTACACCGAACTACCGAACGACGTGAGTCTTTGAGATTTAATTAAAAAATTTTAAAAATATCAGACGTATTGACGAATAATAAGTACCTTTAATAAATATAATATTTTACTTTCATCCCTTCAACTCGATCTTTATGTACAGTCATGTATTATTCTTATTTGAATAGTACAAATAAAGTTATTACTAATTTTAATCGACAATTCATATTTTGAGATCACGTCGAAACATTTTATAATTTAATGAAATGTGTAATAACACAGATTGCAATGTACCGATTAAATTTCAGCATTAATGTATACTATTAGCTTATTCCTAAGCTTTTAAAAGCTTAGGAATAATGGAAACCGTACATTATTATATATTATAATCTTCAATCCTTCGATGATAATTTGCAATTTGATTAAGATTAAAGGTTTTCAAACTTTTTTTTTCGCGTTTCCACTTACGGTACTATAGACCTGTCAAGCACCATTTTATGACTAAAAATAAAATTAAAATATTTGAAATTCCAATATAATATTTATTAATTATTTTGATAGGTTAAATATAAAACAGTATTAGATCCGTTAAAAACATTTGTATAAATATTCATCTCCGAACTACTTCCACGCGGCTTTCTACGTACACCTATGTTGTCTATCAAGTACCAGAGTACTTGATTAATATTATCGCTCAATTTATCCGAAGTTGTACGTCGACAGTGAAAAATGTATACAAACTGCACGATAATTTAATTAGTAATTTACCATTTAATATATTTTTTTATTATATTTTATTTACATAATATATTTGCATATGTATATTACTTCACGATTATTACAGATTTTCAATAAAACTATAATTATATTTATAATTATAATTATATATTTACGATCGAATATGTTATTCGTAATTTATACGTAAAAGCGTATATCGTTCTAATATAACTGCGACGATATATGATTGATAAATTATAATATATTTTAAAATAGGGCTTACGATTTTGTCACGAATATAATATGTAAATGCAGACATAAATGACTGTTTTTCTGCAAGTAAATTACAAAATAAAATCAAAACCAATACATTATAATATTATTATATTGTTATATATATAATTAGTATTGTTACATCGACAGATTCAATAATAATATTATTTGTCATCGGTGCAACTCTCTACATACAGGTATACTATCACCATCAGCGTTATTGTCTATTTTGCTTTCGCTTTCGATCGGTTGAATTTTTTTCTTTTTCGTGAAAACATGTCGTATAATATTACCCACCTATACCTACCTACCCATTAGTCGACCGGTTATGCAAGCTTTTTATTTGCCCTTTTTGACGCTTATCGCCGTGCGGTTCCTATGTTAGCAGCCCTTGTTGTCGTTGTCGTCGGTATCTAAACGTGGATATTATTACACTTTACATTTTGCGCGTCTGTTCGCTTTGTTATCTGTGCATTGTGGTGTCACTTACGTACGCGTACATCGTCGAGGTTACCGTTCAATAATGGGTAGGTACCTGGGTACCTATATAATAATGAAAACGTTAGATAACGAATTAAGACACAGATAGCCCATAAAGACCATGAATAAAACATTGCTACTGACCCGTAGCTGTTGCAGCCATATTATTATTATAACGTGTACTAAATTCGTATTATAATACGTATATACCTAATGCACATATTATTATTTTGTTATAATTAAGGCTGTGAATTCAATGCACAAAAAAATCACTTAGTAAAATATGCACTAAACCCTCCACAAAAACGGCAAAAATGCAATATTTCAAAAAACTTTAATAATGTATACAGAGAATTTTAATGATGTATACAAAGAAAATTAACAGGTTAAAAAGTCCGAATTTAAGTAAATTTAAATTTTTAACTTAGCTTTTAACCTTTGATTTGCATTAGTTAAAGTTATTTGTCTTATAATAATATACATTTTTACATTAAGTTTATGACATTTTATTTTATTTTTAACACAATAAAAAATTTAAAATCTATATTCCATACACTATTTGATTATGTCGATATACCATAGTATAGTAAATTATAATTGTTTTAAACAAATATACTTAAGTTAAACTCAACCTCTAAACGCATTATTGAGTAGGGAAAAATAATCAATTATTATTACAATTTGTACTCAATAATACGTGTGGAATTCGATTTAAAAATAAGTAATAAGTATATTTGTTTAACACAGATCAAGATTATTTTCAAAACACCTACAAAATTTTAGTTTAACCATTACCATTGTGACAATAATAATTCTAACTAACAATAACTAACTAATAATTGAAAAATAGATAATTTAATTGTCAAATTAACTGCTAACTCGTTGATTTTTTTTTAACTTAACTAACCTGAGTTCATAATATTATTCATTACACAGCCTTGATAAAATACAGTATTTTAAAAAAATATAACTAATTGGCCTATTTTATTAAATAGTTAAACTTTATATTTAGGTGCATGGAGAAACTTTGAAAAATATCTATTTGAATAGACAATGTTTTGAATCTGAAAATCTTTGGAAATTCAATAATTTGAACGGACATTATCTGGAATCTACATTAGTTTGAATCGATTAACTAGAAATATATTGATATACATTTGAAATAGACAAAATTAAAAATGACATTAGTTGGAATAATTAAGAGGACGCTACACCGAAAGTGAAACGTATACAACGACCGAGAGTTAGCGTTGCAATAAGTGACGAACGAGAAGGTTGCTACAATATTTATTTATGACATGAGATAAGGTGATATCAAATATGTATATTCCTTATTTGTCAATTACAACGTCTGTTGATTCCAATATTGTGGGTTCCATTTTTGTAGACTCCAAAAATATAAATTCCAAGTCGATTTCAAAAATGTATAGTTTCAAATATTTATTATTTAAATAATAATACTCCGTGTATTTATATTGCAATCAGTGTTTTTAAAATAGTATCAATAAATATAATAAAATTGACCTGAAAATGGACAAACAGTCGAAAGTGTCAAAAAAAAAAATGTTTCAAAAATCAGTTCAATTTTTTATTTTATTCTAATTTTATGCTAAAAAAATTTATGAAGCTATTAATAATGATGTCTTGAAATAAGTTTTAAAAAACTCATTCGCTACAATAATTCACAACCTGTTAGTTTTAATATTATCATAATATGGCTCGGCGCAGTCTTGTATGTACGGTTAATCGGTGAAAGTGTTTCACATTTTCTCGGGTATGATCAATCTATCTATACGTTAATTTACCAACTGGTTTATAACTATGAAAATAATAATTATAATAATAACGATTTCAATAATGATATTGTTATTAATTATTTCATCCTCCGGGACCCAAATTTTGGCCATGTTTCAAAATATCTTGTATATATTATAGTTATAGTTAAGAGCGTACTCGCCAATTAGGTAGTAGTTTTTGAATTTATTATTTTTTTTTTCCATCGTTCTCTTCACCAGACCAGCTCAACAAGTATTATGAAATTATATTATAGACAAATGAGTATTATATATTATTATAATATATTATTAGTAATATATAATATATCAAATATACTCTCATATAAATCATTATAACATGCTAAGCTAACCATCTTAAGTGGCCATCACAGTTGAATTTGCCGTATGTTTTTCTAACGGATAATATAGCAAAAATGTGTTCACGTAAAACAAACTAAAAGAATTAGAGATAAAACGCTTATTAAAAAATGTGTTTATGATTATATTTTGAAGACATTCTTTGGCGTTTTTAAGACAAGTATTAATTCCTTAAAAAGTAACAGTTCTTTTATTTGTACCTTTCATAGAGAGTTGATTATTTAGAGAATTATAAAATGAAGACGAGCGCGAAGTTGTCCTCAAAATATCGTCATCTAAAAATGGTATAATAATAGGTGATCTATCTTTAAAATCAATTTTTAAGGCCTTTTCGTTTTTCGTGAGTTTATATCCATTCCGGGCGTTAAAAAAATCATAGTTTAATTTTTTAATTTTTTTAATAATATACGAAATAATTCACTTAATGTTGTACCGAACTAATCACAGAAGTTTTTCAACCACAATATAACTTTTCTTCCCACACTTATTTTTCCTTACAAGTATAATTTAAGTAAGTATAAGTTGCAGTAATCGATATCTGCGGTTATTTCTCATTACGACCAAGATGTTCTAGTTTCCGAGATTTTAAAGTAATATTATTTTAAAACAATGAAAAACAACTGTATCATTGGCGTTACGTATACAATGGTGCATACATGAATTTTATACAATCACTAACTTTTTTAACATTTCACGAAAAATTATTTCTGATTATATATTAAAAAAGAAGTTGTGATAAGACACATCCTTATTTCACTTCTCGTTTAATTGGAATCACTTCCGACATATCTGCTTCTATACGTATATATTGAAGTTTGGCTTTAATGAAAGTTACTTGTAATATCAGCTTATGATAAATTCCATTCATTTTTAATACTACTAAAAGTTTATTGTGCTTAGAATTCTAGTATATCCTATTAATAAAAGCCTTTCACTAACACAACTTTATACATTGTAGCAGACATCTCTAGCTCTTTAAATTAACACTAAGCTAGATATAACTTCTCTTATATCTAATGGTTTCGAAATCCAACTTGTGTACGGCTCATTTAAGATTCATATATTTTAAAAATTAACTGATGCGTGACATTTAAAAAGAGCTTTAAATGATGATTCATAAAACGAATGGTGCAAAAATCACTGTAATGTTTAACAATGGATTTTTTGGGAAACGCTATGAATTATAGATACGCTATAGATTTTAACCATAATGTGGGTATGAGGTGAGTTTTTATATTTTGTTAAATACACAAGTTAGCTAGGTAATACGCATTCCTCGTCTAATAATAAGAAAAATGCTTCAGGTAAATTATCCAGTCTTGGGGATTTACCAGATATTGCCGTTTTTGAAATACTGACAGCCTTGAATTATTGATAAGCTACAGATAATTATAAACTTGTGAACTCCAACTATGTTTATACTATTTATTTAATAATAAAAAAAAAAAACTTGTTTTTAGTTTAAAGAACATTTTAAATTTGAACTGTCATTATACTTTGATCAAAATTACAACAGTGAAAATAGAAAAGCCTTTGAGTGTTTTAGCCCCCTAACCTCCTTAATTATGCCTTTATATCACTATGATAGTCTCTTAATTACTTTATAAATTTGAAATTAACATAGACAATAATCATTGGTTTGTTGTTATGATAATTTAAAAACTTTGTAGTGTATTTTGTATACTATAAGATAAGTTTAAAACAAAAAAAGCTAATACTGCTAATAAATGCGCCAAAGTTGTAGGTAGAAAGTTAGGAAGGCAGGCTACTTAAAGTTATTTAATTTATAACTGATAACCACGATAAACCATTACTAAAGATAAACAATTCTGAGCAAAGTTCGTATATTCATGATTTCTAAGGCCGTATTTCAGGTGTATTTACGATTTTCTTAAAATTTGATCTTAAACAACTGTAAGAAAAAAAATGATTCCATCACACTCTACTTTTCATTATTGACCACTAACTCATAATGAACCTCCTGTTAAATTTGTATGCATTTCAGTTTAGTCAAACAATTATATCCACATAGTACCTATCAAAAAAAAACGTAAACAACAAGCAAACATAAAATGCCAACAAATAGAACAAAATGTTTTGAAAATTTACCACGTCTAGAAAAGGAAAAGAAAAGTTTTCTGTCTCTTTTCACGTCTTTACGAATTACAACAAAAAATAAAAAATTGAAAATGATGGAACTATTATTTCCGTAAATTTTCCCGTTCTTATTACGTTTCTTCCGGTTTTCCTCAATCATTAAGAAAACTTTTACGGAGTTTACAAAAATTGCAAAACGATTTACTTCTTCTAGATCCGAAATTCAATAAAAAGGATTATTTAGCATTTTTAAAAAAGAAATGTTTCTGTTGGAAAAGTTGTGCGTAAAAATTAAAAATAATGAAGTCAGTATCGCCGTGGTGCAACATAAATATTTACTGTTTTTCTTATTATTATGTTTCAGGTATTTTCCAATTATTTTAACAAGTAATAACATTTCCTTTCAGAAAAGATACTACATTTGATACATCAAAGCGAAATTTCTTGTAAAAAAGTTACTCACAAGACTTAAAAAATAAATCAAAAAAAACAACACGCATAGTAAAACCAATAAATCCTTCACTCCGCTCCAAATTTAATATGTTAACATTATAAATCTAATAATTATCGTAATCCGGATTGATTGATCAGATTGGTAGACAAATGTTAACATGCAGCGCAGGCACGAAAATATTTGAAAAACTGATTAATTTTTATTTTTTACATCTTGTTCTAATGTTTTACGAACAAAAAAAATAAAATACCGCGGAAATCTGAATATTTTTAAACTTGTCCACATTTTTAATACTCTTAAAATATTATATCATACCGTCATGGTGTAAACCGGGATACTATAAAGTTAACACGATTATGTAGATGAAGATGCCAGTTTAAACAAATTACAATTTACTATTATTAATTCAGATTTAGTAGTCCAATAGTATATACGCGTGGTACCTAATTGTATGCATATTAAATTGTTGTCGCGGTATTACGAAACTGTTTTTTTTCAATATATATAGTTTTTTAACCGTGTATCAATACAATTATTATCAGTCAGTCCACTATACAATAAATATTCAAAAATACAAATTAATCGTGCACGCACTATTTTAGATTGCATACTTATTACTTATTTTATATTACAGTGTGTGTATATTATACACAATATAATTACATAAGAGTAAACACCCACGCATAAGTGTATATTATTATCTGTTCTCAAAACGAGGTGTGTTAGTCTTTACAGGCTGTTAATAAATTTAACACGTTCCTATACCTATATTATAATATAATATTGTAAGTATATCGAGAGCCTGCTCGTGTAATAGTGATTTCTCCATGAAATGTAATAATTACCGAATAATGCCCGAACATACTATTTCCGTTTAGACGTTGCCATAAGAAACAATAAATATATACATACCTATTTCAAAAAAAAAGACCTCCACAGCGGAAACGTGTACAAATGTTATATAACCTATACAAAAAATTCCCCCAGGGCTTAAGTTGTTTTTTTATAATCGGTGCGAATATAAAAATGCCATTTCTTTTACTCAGAGAGAGAGAGAAACAGAAGGAAGAGAGAGTTAGAGAACGCACTCTGTACGACCACGCCCCAAAATCACTCATATTCGAGATTTATTTTAATATATCATATATAAGTAGAGCAGTTATCTATATCCCTTAAAAATCTTTAAGTATACGTGTAGATATGGACTAAAAGTACCAAAATAGGCCCAACAAATATAAAACACCAAATATGCAAAATGGAATTGTGTATATATAGAACGGTTATAGCCCATTAAACTTATTTTAGTAAAAACTAAACATTTTTTAAACAAACCAATAAAAAAAATATGTAAATGCGTATATATATATGATCTGATTAAATATTCTAATAGTTTTGATAATATTGTATTCATGTGATTGATGACAATTGCCTAAAATTATCCCCAACTTTATAAAACTTAACATTTTTTTTTTTTTACATAATTCCTTTTCCACTACTCTAATGTCCAATACCCGTTTAAGGAGGAGTACTGGCATTTTTACTGATAAATCTGAGGTTTGAAACCGAAAAGCCAGTAAAACTAAAATTGTTTTTAATTTTAATTAAATTTACTACAAGTGAAATGTAAAATAATTTAAGTACATTTTTTAAAATATGTTTCAAAAATACAATCCAATTTTTTTACGATATCCAGTAAAATAATTATATTTTTATTTCCAAAATATTCTATTAAAGAACCTAAAAAATCATAATCTATCAAACACAATTTCTACAGTTTTATCTAGCTTTAAGTCAAACGGTAAACTTTAAACTTAAAATTAATTTTTTGTACAATTTTCAATTAAGACTATCATTTGAAAATCGGAAATGCGTGTGTAATGGTTTCACCACTAAAGACAAGGGTGACAAAAAATAAGAGTACAGTGTAAAATATTAAAGCCACTTATTTCTTAAATTTAATAAGAAAAATAATTCAGAAAAAGTTAATATTTTGCAAGATAACGAGTGTCTTAGGTTATATTAAGCTGTAAGGTCGTAGTTTACTACAATAAGTAATAACATTTTATAAATCGACGATGTTTTTTTACGCAATCGCGTTATTCCGACGTATGGATTTTTTCAACTAGAATAGTATTCTGATTGCACTCTCACTCGCGCCTGTTGCTCGATATTACACCGGGTGCGTGTATTTATTTTAAATATAATGATAATGTTATGTTTCGTATATAGTGGGCGGACAATAATTCAAGCGGTCGGTGTATAATATATTTTATTCATATACATTTAGTCCTACTCATTCTACACACATAGTTATCGTGTATAATTATGTATTAATAATAACTGTCGATTATAAAATCGTGCACGTTACATAATATTATTACAATGTGTTTGACGTAAAATAGATCGGCGACACATAAACGAGTATACTAATACTATGGAACGTGTAAAACATCTCAAGAAATAATTATCATTTCCGAACAAAACCACTTCGCGCGGGTAATCATACATTTTTAAAATTGCATTGATAAAAAAAAACGTCGATATCGTCTTCTTCTTTTTGGATATTTTTAGGCCGATGGATCATCCCATCAAATGAATTATCCTCCAATTTTCCTTGTCATCTATTGTTCGTTTCCAGTCTAAACCTTCATTTAGAGAATCTACGTCTCTCTATATCATACGTCTTCTCGTCAAAGACTCGTTACAGGTCTGAGCAGCCCACTATAAACTCCTACAATGGATTGTATCTAATACATATACGATATAGTATACTTAATCGTCATATCAACACATCGCGTATTGATATTGGTATATAAGAAATTGTATTGACGTTTTAAATTCAAAAATCTATCCAAAAAGCACTACCCACAATATATATTTTCACTCTTCTCTCTTCTCGCCGTCAGTCGTTTGATTGGTTTCCTGAAATTTACCATAATTATTATCCTTTTTGTAACTCAGCTTCTTAAATTCCTTGTAACATTACACATTCATGTCTATCATAATTTGTTTTGTGTACCATCTTAGTCTTCCTCTACTGATATGATCTTCAACGTCACCTTCTATGACGTATTTCGATAATAAGCTATATTTTGATACAGTAGAAGAGACAAAATTATCATTTTATCCTTCTGACTTTTATAATAAGTATGCCCACATAACTTATATTCCCTTTTGCGTTAAGTGATGTGAAAAATTCTCCATAAAAATACCAAATTACTATAAACAGTGTGTCCCGCCGTGTTCGACGAATTTTTCTAGAGCTATTAACATTAAGCTTTTTTCAATTTGTCTTTAAGAGGGACATCGAAAATAAATATGAAAACAATTAATATATTCAATAATAATCACAATCTCGGCACGTTAATTTCATATCGCAACAGTAGATTATTGAATATTAATTGTTTTCACACTTATTTTCTATAAATTAAAATTTTAAAGAGATAAAGTTTTTTTTTTTTGTATGTGTTTAAGGGATGAAAATAAAAATGTATTTTTTTTTTCCAAATCAATGTTCCCCTCGAAGACAAACCGATTGAAAAAAAATTGAAACATATTTAGTATTTAGTAGTATTATTTAATATTATTAAGCTCTAGAAAAATCCATCGAACATAGTGGGAGACACTGTATTATAAGTAGTAAACACAATCAATATCCAATGAGTATGAAAAAAAAAACATAAAATTACGTGAAAAAAATTTAAAAAAAGTTATATGTATTAAATACATAGAGAAATACAAGGTAGGTACATGGAATGAATCACAACATTATCTACACTAAAATATTGAAAATATGCCAAAAATTGCGAAAAGTCACGCTGTAATAATTTTCCAGATTTGAACTCGTGTTATTTCCACAAAACGAGTTTAAATTTAATTACTTGGCAATAATATTAATATTAAATCGGTAAAAAAGTTACAACCGTCGTAATAACATCCGAACTCGAGTTTAAACTGGTGACCGGTCAAAATATTTTCGCAATAGTATAGCTCTAGCTATTTCTTGTAAGATAAATCTCTGGTTCAAAATACCTCCGAAAAAAAATCTAATAAAAATATATCCTAAAACAAAAAAAAATCTTTTAATATTTCTTATAGTAATAATTAAAGTTGTGAATTTGTAGGAAAGTGCATTTTTTTAGCCGATGTGAACCGTAATTTTTTAAGTATGTAATTTAAATTATGTAACAAGAACAAATTCATTTATGAAACTTTTATTTTGCATTTTTTGACGTTTTTAATTTTTAAAGTAATTTTTTGGATTTTTTAAGTCATATTTTCATTTTAGTTTATTTTCCGAAATTTTTTATCAAATTCCGTCGATTAACATCTTATCTTATCAATTATATTTTATTTGTTGAGACTTCAAATGTATATTTTATTGCATTTTTGTGTATTTTTAATGTCATTTTTAAGGTTTTTCACTGCATTAAATTCACAGCCTTAGTAATAATAATATTTAGTAAGTATATGATATTAAATTGTTATATTGTTATGTTATAGTCATTATTGCCTGCAATATTATTTTCTAGATTCATTGTGGGATATTATGTTATACTGAATATAATGTATATATAATGAATTTTGCCCCAGGAAAGAAGAACCTACGTATAATTTTATATTAAAGATATTTCCACTGGTGATATTTTTGCAGAAATGTTGACTTTTTAAACTCTTGCCTTTTCAGACAATGCACTCCTTGACCTTGTAAATACATTTTACGTGTATCTATAATGTGTATATAATAACAAGACTTGGTTATAACTCAGTTAAATTAAATTAATACAAATTTAAATTTGTCTTTTCTTTAAATAATAAATCGGCCCCAAATATTATAATAAGTGTGTGCATATTATTAAGTAGGTACCTACACAATAATATATTTGACATAACGCTACGGTAAAACCTTGATGAGAGATGTCACCTAAACATGATGGGCGTCTTAACATAATAATAATATTATATTATAGTCAGCCTAACAAATTATAAGATCTATTATCGTATAAAAAAAAATTAATAGTGACTACTGACGACTACCTACTATTATTATAAAGGACCATCGTTAGACGGGACAAAAAAAAATGACAAAAAAATGTCGTATAACTCTATAATCATTCTATTATTCTATTATGTATACTTATTATCCTATCAGTTTTTTTTTTTAATGAGTCGGTGTTTTTATTTTCATTATATACTTATAATATGGTTATTATTTATCCGCAGGAACACATCGGCGTACCGTATCAAGACGTGGACAAACGAGCGGCGCTCATCTTGCACAATGACCACAAGGATGGAACAATTCTGATGGTGAGTTTAACGTTTTTATACTAACACTGTCGCGTCGCGCAAGGTCAAGTCTAAGTACTAAATGATAATAACATTAACTATTATTATCATTATCGTGCATAGAAATAAATAGTAGGCCGAGTCCGGGTCGTACATAATACTATTGTTATGCAATTTACTTACGCCTATATACAATACGAAAACCGGACGATGGCCAGCCTACATTATACTTGTATATAGATAGGCAGTGCTGCAGCAAATTACTTTCAACTATAAACTGCGGCAGACATGACAATACGTCGTATATAATATGTATATTATATTATCATTACGGGTTCAGACAAAAACAAAACGTGCAAATAACGCGTGATGGTTTCAATAATATACTCGTATAATAAGCATAATATTGTTGTATAATAATATTATAATACCTATGGACTAGGAGGTATCTATTATACGCCCAGCCAGTTTGACACGGTGACGAGATGCGAAATAAGGTCGTTTCGACGCGGAACGATTCGGGTATTTTTATTTTTTTTTTTGTTCTCGTCGGCCGTTTTCTTTGATTGACGACTAGGTACGAAAATCCCACAGCCGTATAATACCTCGTCGATTTACGATAATATATTCCTCGATTTATTCCTTGTGTACCTCTATATACATTATACATATCCGAATTCAGCGGATTGATGCGAGTTTAGGAACACGTTTCAATACCTATTGCGGATGGAATATGTCGGTTAATACACCTGCACTTTCGTCACAACCTGCTCCTGCAATTCTTCTTGTTCGTTAACATTACCAGTATCTAAAGACCGGAAGACAAATTATACATCCATCCAAGTTTAAATTTGTATTAACACTATAATGTTCAATTTTAGCACGAACAATTGTTATCAAACTTTTTTAGTTTGATGCAGAAAAAAAATACCAGTTTTCGAATAAAGTGATCCATTAACGCCTTCCCCTACTGCGCCCTGTTCAGAAACTGAACGATAAAAATTAAAAATTTCATTAATCTGATGAATTTCGGAACACCCAGATTATAATATAGAAATAGGAGCACTTTTCCTGAAATTATGGCAGAGAAAAAAGATAGGATTGTGCAAATATCTAAAATGAAAACCTAACCTCACTATTAGTCCAAACCAAATACTACTTCAAGAAAGTGTCCAATTAAGTATTAACCGAAAACCACGAAGGGTTTAAATAAAGCTGAAAAGAAAATGGAATAACCACGTAACGTAGATTACAGGATTCTAAGTTTGTGTAAATCATCTTTTTGTTACCTTCGGAATTTTGTCTTTGGAAAAAGAGACTAGTCCCTACAATATACTAAGTCGATATAAATCATTTGGAAAAAAATACTGATATTGCTCATAGATGGAATCATGGATATTACGTTTAGCTTCTTTCTTTTTTTTTTGTTCAGTAAAAAAATAATTATACGTTTATATCAAACCAAAAAAATTATATCCGCGTAAATCGAAAAAAAATTAAACTTGAAAAAAACGAACCGAAATATTTTTAAAATTATATCACGTCTAGAAAATCCTTCAATAATTTATAACTTTATAAGTTATTTAATGATTCGATGAAAATGTCAAGTTTCCGTGATTATTCACACTGAATATTACGAGAAAAAGAAACAAAACCAAATCGATTTTTTCGTTCTCACCCATTATTGAGAAAATGACGCAGATTGACCTCCCCGTAATGCGCCAACGAGATAACATTTCAGAAACCGTCGGAAACCATCTCTGCGACATTGACTTATGTATAGTCGAAACACGTGTGCACAAACAAAATATACAAATTCAAAAATTGCAACACATACAATATTTCTCTTTATACGATCACGGTAATCTAAAAATAATTGATAATATATAATAACAATCTCTGTTGTGTGTGCACTCGATGCATAATAATTCGAATATGTAATAATATTATTATTATGATGGACGGAACGGCAACCGTAACGATTATGACGAAGATGGTTAGCCCTCAAAGCCATTGCGTAACGATTGTAAAAAAAAAAATAAAAAAAAAAAAAAAAAAGAGATAACGATAATGTATAGTAAATCGAATACTGTAACAATAATGCATTTATTGTTGTTATTATTATTATCATTACAATCGCGTCGCCTGCGAAACTATCGCCGAAGGGAGTTTTCAGACGCGGTTTTTTTGGCGCCACTGCCGCCGGGACGGGTCTCACGAAGACAAGACGACGTACCTACTACTCGCCCTATTGTGTGTCGGTATAATTTTGTACCGCGACCGCGTTCGTGTTTACCGCTGGTATGAAAACAGTGCACCAATATTATAAAATATTGAATTGACGACGACGAGATAAATTAATTGTCGAACGCGCGTTTGGATACGGATTATTCGTTCCGGTTACGCGCGAGATGACGCGCGGTGACCCCTAAGACGAGGTTACATAACTGCGATTTAACTGTCTGATTTGAGTGATAAATCTACGGCGGGGGGAAAAAAAATAATCGATAAAAGCATTATATTAACAAGCGCAAAATTATTCCCGTCCGGGATCCGTGTCCGTTTACAATAACGCAAGTATTAAAATTATATTATAATTATTACTATTGTACTATTTGTACCCTTCTCGAGAACGCGAATAATATACACGCGCGGCGTTCAAGTACGTTTTGTCGAAAATTTTATAATTCATAATCCGGGCCCAAGGACCGCGATGAAAACAATAATGTTCCGACTATTACGGGTATACACACCGCGGCGTGGAGATGACTTCTGCCCGAGGTTACCTACATATTATGCGTGCATTATAAATTATAATATAACTATAATAATATTAACTATGTTCATTACATTACTTATTTATTATTATAATATTAGTAATAACGCGTACTTATTCAATATAACCGCACGTCGTCGTATTCTTCGTCTTCTCATTTAAGCCCGTGCCTTTATTTCGCTGCAAATCCACCACTCTTCTCCGTCCGCATAACCTACCTCTTATCGTATACCGTATACCGGACGCAATCATAAGCTGTCCCGTAATGCCTTCGACGAATGCCTTCCCGAGCGACTTTCTTATCCTTTACGATCGTTTTTACCCGTTCCACGAATATGTTCGACAGAAACGAATTACGCCTCGAGAGTTTACCGACAATTTTTCCGCTCTTTACCCCATTATATAGATCAGAAACCTTTTTTCCCCCCATTTGGTTTAATACTTCTAAATTGATTTTCATTTCTGTCCAACTGACCCCTCATCATTCTTCTCCAAAATGATCTTATTCTAGTCTAGTTCAGTGGTGGATTGTCCAGGCTTCCTAGCCATCATCATATAACAATATCGAGTATAATATACAGTATAGTATATATACTCGCATTAAATATATACGAATAGGCCATCATTTGTAATTGGCGTTCTCGAACATAATAATTATTTTTGTTGCAAAATCTGGTTATCATTTCTATGCCAGCCACGGTTACGCAATATATTCACTGATACTTAAAATACCTCAAATACCTCCCCTCTTAACCACTCCTCTTAAAACGAGGCATCAAATGTAAAAACACAAGAATGGCCTGTATATATCTTTAATACCAATCTATTATGGTATAATACGATATATACCTATGGATTGCCATATTTTGAATTCCCTAGAAACCCAATTAGTTCGGGCATAACATCTGTCTTCATAATATAATAATATTACTATAGAAGTTTCTCTTCACGTATTTATTATGTACATTGTACCTACAACAATATTATAGTCAATATTTCGAAAAACGTCGAAATACTGTCCGTCAACTTGATACATACCGTATCGTGTTTTACGTTTTCTTGCGTGTGATATAATAATTTCCTATAGCCAGTCATTTGCTGCAGATATATTTTATTTAGTATTTTTCTTTTGCGTTTCGCTCTCTATTTCCAATTTTTAGAGTATTTTTTCGAGATTTTGTTATAATTAATTTTAAAAATGTTTAGAGTTAAATGATTAGGTAATTCTAAATATTATTATATCTCAAGAAATTTTGTTTTTGTAATATTAGTTTTATAGGTATTCTTCATTCATCCGTATCGATTGCAAATCGTTTAAATCGTTACGTGTGCATGATTTACATTTTGTATCGTTGTTATGCTTTCAGATAATTAATTTCAAGCAATTCGGATAATGCGCCTAACAGATAATATTATTAACAACTTTTATTTTGCGTTTTACACTGTTTGTCCGTTTGTCGAAAGATTTTTGAGCATAAAATATATTATATCCGGGCTCTAGACATTATGACTTATGACGGGAATTCTCGCGATAAAGTTGTGGAACCGTATCGATCGATTTATTGTGGATCCGACACGACGACGTCAGCAGAGTGTCATTACAAACAATAGGGAAATCAATTGAACAAGTTAAGAGTTTAAGACAAATATGGACGTACAATAATAGGTATAGACGTGCGTTTTCTATGTGTCGGCGGGAGATCGCTCTTCGGGAAAGAAAAAAAAATACGAACAAGAGCGCTACGGTAATCTGCGAAAAAAATCTAATAAACGCAACAATAACCGACAGTATTGTACACGCATATCAGGTATAGTTACAAAAAAACTAATAATAAAATAAACCGCATATAACACCGTTCCAGTCGACACAGCCGAGCGAGGTAGGTAGGTATGGTTACATAATCTTCCTGTAGTATGAAAACCGTTTAAAGATCTACGCGAGAGTGAAACACTCGATAATATTGCTGCGATAATAATATTATAACCAGCAATAGTAAGTGAATGTCAGCAAAAACACTCTCGGAGCAATATTATTGTCTGCGCAGGAGTTTGCGCGCATCGCACTACAGGCACAATCTAAAGTACGTAAGGTATGTTACGCTGCGGGTCAACAAATATTATAATATTATTGACTCGGTAAAGTTAATTTGTTTTGCTAATTAAAAGTAGGTGATTTGATTCACTTATTCGCTAAATTCGATTTAATTTCGTCTATTTTTTTTCGCGGAATTAGCATTCAGGGAAAATATTTTTAAACCTATAAGGGAATTGAATTTGTGATTTTTGTATAAAATGTAAATCGACTATATTATGTGCTCAACGCCATATAAAAACTTGTAAATAAATTGAATTGATCAAACAAATCACAAGTTAAAAATTAAGATAATTAACTTGTAATTTTAAACTTTATAACCCGTTCATTCCCAGCCTTGCAGTTAGGTACCTATAACGTTGTAATATTATTCCAAGACAATAATTTATCTAATATTTTTTTTTTTTTTAAGTAATGTGGAGCAATTGAATCGCGCTAGTGTGCATACCATATAAGGAATTCTATTTGATATATAAGTATAGATATTATGTACCTATATATTATTATATAAGTACTTCCAATAATTCGCGGTATTCGAACTATTGTCTATTATAATGGAAAAAACCAAAAACTCTGGTGTTTTTTTATCATAAACAGTTAAAACACTCCTAAAGGTTTAATACCGGATAACATTATGACATTCCCCCCTATTCGATATTCCAATGAAAACTTGATATAAGGTATACCTTCTTTTTACAACAGTTAGTACGTACTATCGGACAAAATATTCACTCAAATGATAACGAAAAAACATTCCAGTCGAATGAATTAAGATTGAAATGGAGTTTTTTCAGAAAAATCGGGAGGAGGGGGTACCAAAATACACATTTTAAGACTATTTTCAAAATGTTCAACATTATATACGACGCACGCATGCGTTTACCTACATTTTGTTAAACGAAACACCTGCTGTTAACACCAGATTAGAATAGGTCAATTTTTTTAAACAACTTTAACTAATACAAAAATCCGCATTATACATTTTAATTAATTCTATTAATAAACCAAAAACGCCAAAATGTTTTAAAACTATTATATAGGTACCACGCCTAGAAAATGCTAATAAAAGTACACAGTGAAAATTTTTTTATCTATTTTCGAATGAGTTACAAAAAAAAAAGAAATCACAAAAATCGTTATAGTGCAAATATTCTACGTTATTAAGGAAACTCATAAGAGGAAAAATCAAAAAATTATCTCTCCAATGCACCAATTACCAAGAAAAAATTTGCTATCAAAGAAAATCACATAAAATTGATGGAACAGAATCTAAAATAAAACTTAACCTTTATTGAAATAACCATTTGATTATTGCATTATCTATGTACCACGTGACACTTAAAAAAATGTTAAAAAACTAAACCTGTACCTATTTGGTTTTAAGAGGAAAAAAATCGTCAGTATTAAGACAATAAATAAATGATGTATAATATGAGTTTCAAATATTATAAAAAAAAAAAAAAAAAACTTTAAAACATGGCTGTATCTCAAGCAAATTTTGAGATTGGAAAAGAATTGTATAAGCCAAAGTTGAATGGAAAAATAAAAACTGTAAATACCTAATACTCGAAACCTATACGTTTCCGTTTAAGTAAATGAAATTTGTTTTCAACTAAAAAATAACAATGGTAGTAAATTAAATTTAAAAAAAAAATACGTGGCCATATAATATTATAATATATTATAATATATATTGTAATTTATTTTAATCAAATATTATGTTCGATTTCCAGTAACCAGTTCTGAGCGTATAATTCGTGTATAAAACGTGTAAAGTATATTAAGCAATAATATCTAATAAAATATATTTAAATTTTAAATAAATCGTCGTCAATTTTCATCAGATAACAATATAATATGGGTTTTTTTTTTTTTTTTTATATATACAATAATAATAAATATTGTGACGTAAGCGCGTAACAAACATATTGCGACGTATCTACCTAACCTATACCGATAAAGCCGTTTGGAAAATAAATCAAAATTCGATATAAACTCGAACGTCGTCGTTATTGGTCGTCGGCGACACACTTATCAAGAGTATGCCTGTACTATATAGGTGCCCGTATTACAATAACGGCAATTTTTTTTTCATGTTTATACATTTTGCTTTTTTTTACAAAATTTTAATATTAAATATTCCGTTGTTTTTGTCGGCCTTACGACCAAATTTATGTAGTAGACACCGCGACGACGACGGCTGTGACGCTGTAATATTATTGCGTTTTATTTATTCAAAAATAATATTTTTCGTATCGTTTAGCTTTTTTATAAACACGCAATAGAAATTATTATTATTATTAATATATTTTTTTTTTACAAAATTACGGTTTTCGCCACAAATTTCGATCGCAGTCTGCAGTTATAATAAAACGCCAAAAAATTAACAATTTACGAATTTATGTATTATTTATTTTTCAAACCGCAACCCAAAACTTTGCCGATAATTTCATTGATGACAATATAATAAATCTCGTAATCAAAGGCGTAGCTAGAAATATTTTTCTGGGTAGGCCAGATAAAATAATTTAAGTGTTTAAATAGCTTATGAAAGCTTATGCTTACAAATGTTTGATTTTAAAATTGTGTTAATTTCCGAAGAAAAGTGGATAAACCTGGGCTTACCAGGCCTACGACACTGCTCGTAATAAACCGAAGAATAACGCGAGGATTTAAGCTCACCGTGACGTTCTCTGTAGGGTATATTAATAATCAATTTTGAAAACAACATAATATAATATATTCTGAATAAAACGGTGAAACTAATACTTTGACGGAGATTTTAGATTAAATTCGGCCTTTTTCCTTATTTTTTTAAAATTTTGATTATTGGGATATCAGTTTTATTACGATTTGTAATTTTTTTTCGTCTTTTCTACAACTTTTCTACCAGAAATTTCGCTCCAATCGAAAAACGACAAGACAGCTTTTTTTGTAGGATTTTGAATCAAGTTGATGAACCGGAAAAGTAATTTTTTTGATTTTCCATCCAGTTTTTATAGTTAAAAAAAAACGTACAGGAAAAACTATTGAAAAATCACCAACTAATATTGTGTACACTGGATTCCAGAATACTTACGATTTTCCCAATGATTACCAGGATTTCCTCGATTACCAAACAATTGTTCATTGATTTCCTTCAGTGATTTACCCTCACAGAAAAATGGACAAATTTCATGTAAAAGTTTAGTCATTTTCGATTTTGTTTTGACATTAATAAATATAAATTTTAAAAAATACAACCCTATCGTTGCTACAACAATAATATAACAAATTCCCGTTGTGAAAGGATGTGTACAGGAAACTAAGCAACGATAGATAAATGAACCTTTAGTCGAGTTGATTTGATAATAGGTCATTCTAATATTAAAACGAACAGCAAAATGTCGTCCTTGCAGCTAAACGCAAATTTGCCACGTCGTACGTTTGTGAGACAGTTGATGCGGGTGTGGCGTCATCTTAATAATAATAATTTAAATACCCACAGATATAGTTTACTCGTAAATCTACAATAATAATTTGTACCTATTGCCGATGTCTTGCGAAAATAATACAGCCGATTAACCGTACAAAAGCGAAAGCCTTTGTTACGATGGGTTTTTTCGCGTCGCCCGCGTAAACTCCATTGGACGAAACAAAGTAGTGCTCATGTCACGCAGACATCGATATTGATGATATAAACTACGTATCTACCCAATTGGATTTATTTATCGGCCATAGATATTGACGGTAGACGATATCGTTATACGTGGCTACCGGTAAAAAGTGCCGTAAAAAACGGTCGGAGGAAAATTGTAAAAACGGTTTATATACGATTACGAATGTCAACCCTTCGAGCTTATTATAAACCAATAGTTATTCTGAAATCGCAGACAAACACTTAAATTTTATTTATACCCAGTCATATTACGAACCTATGCTTAGATTATTAAACCGATAATATTGTGTTCCCTATAAGGGGCGCTGCAGAACCTTATTATTAAATGTGAACGATAACATAATACCTAATATAATATACCTATCTAGCCATACACTTTTGTTATTTTATAATATTACGAGAACACACGCGATTGTATGTATACGATACCTAGCCGGCTATAAATTATATTCGTGCAAATGTTCGAGAGGGGAGGATGAGGAGAAACGACGACGACGTCGTCAGAATTCGTCAAAAACGATAGTCATCCGATTTGAAGATACCTACCAACTGCCTAACAACTCGGATGATATTTTCACCGACGATATCGATTAAACTGAAATATCTATACACTATAGATATTAGGTACTATATACGATACACGTGAGCATGAATTATATCTTTTTATTCTATAAATCCGTATTATAATATAAACGAAGAAACTGACTGACTGACATACTTTGGTAGGTATCATAATATTTTAACAATGCGCAGCCCAAACCGCCGGGCCTAAAAACTTGATACTATAAATATTTGTATTCGTTTATATTATTATTAATCTGTTACGATTGTGATATTTATAGTATAACAATTACGATAAAACTGATTACCTGGTTCGCCGAATTTACTATTTCTTTATGTTCATATCCGACCGCCACCGACGTAGGTAAACTGGTAAACGCGAAAAACGCCAACGCCGTCTATCGTCGCGAATAATTCACACGCGTATAGCTTTGACATTTGAAACAAAAAACGAAATACCATTTATTTATTTCGATAATGACTTTTAAACGCACTCTAATATACGACCGAAGGAAAATCACTCGTCGCCCGTCACTAATGAAATCGACCCGAAGACGAATTAATAATGTAGCGGTTACCGGTTACCTAGCAAGTAGTATTTTCGCATAGATGTACCGATTTACAGTGGACATCATCGTTTCGCGTTTGCAAACTCCTTGGTGTTTTTCAGTGGATTTATAGACGAGGAATTTATAAGCACGTTCCGAAATTACAGGGAGTATAAATTCATATTATTATTATTAATTATAATCACTGTTTGTGAACCATTATAAATAATCAAAAGTCAATTGACCATGATCGGTTATGCGTAGAATACTACGGACTAAGGTATACCAGCCAATGATATAAAAATCAATGGTTCAACAGATTAAGGTAAATTATCTTAATTCGCGATTCAACTACAGATTGTAATATAATATAATTTATTTTATACATATATATACAGGCTGTCCCACAAAGATTCAAGATATACCCCTTGAAAATCTCCGGAGATAATAAAGATAATCAAATTCTGTATTTTTTATATTGCTCACAGAGACGAGGACTACAATTATTTATATTTTTTTAAATTTTTTTTTTAATAAAAAATTTAAAAAAATTACTTTTTATTTTATTATTTTGAGAAAATGTTAAGATAGAGCTATTCTGTAGAGTTTATTTTTCTGAAAATTTTAATATATCACACATTTATATCCGATGAATAGTTTCTAAGTAATAGCCGTTTTAAATTCTACTGATCCGTGTGAAAACCAATGTTATCTAAGAAATTATAACTTGATCGCGTTACGTGATTATATTGGTTTTCACACGAATTTATAAGTTATTTTTTAAATTTTTTTACTAAAAAAAAATTAAGACAAATATAAATATTTGTAGTTCTCATCCCTGTGAATAATATAAAAAACAGAATTTGATTATCTTTATTATCTCCGGAGATATTCAAAGGGTATATCTTCATGGGACAGCCTGTATATACATATATATATATATATATATATATATACATATATTATATTATATTTTTATTATTACGGTTATCTACAACCGTGGTAATTATAATATTATGTTCCATCTGAAAAATATCAGATTGCTGATAAGGCAATCCGATTTATCACTCTCCCTCCAGCGGATTGGTCAATAACTGAGTTTAGGAACGTATCACGGAATATTAGTTGTTTATATTGATTACCTATAATCTAGACAGCAGCTCTGATGATTATAACTCGGAGTCCCCCTTACATCCGTTGCGACCGTTGATAAAGTAGACGTATCTCCCACAGCCGTCAATCGTATCGTTTTTAATTCGTGACGTACACAATCGGTTCGTTTATTAAAATTCATTATTAAAATAAATTCATAAATATCTCGCGCGTGCGTGCGAATTTCGTGTCGGCCGATGAACTTTTTTTTATATAAGCGTGTTATCTCCGTGTTCACGGTGAGAAAAGAGAAATAGTAGAAGAACCGGAATACCAGAGGGCAGATAGGTAATAATGATTTTATTGTATCGCGCAGATCGTAAAAATCTCAAACCGATTACCTACGAATAATCAAAGGCTATTAACGAATATATCATAATAGTACCTATTATACTATTACTCTTTGTAAAAAACAGAAACATTTTTCGCCATAAATATGATGACAAGACAAATAAAAATGACTATAGGTATGCCTCACCAAATATTTTCTCTTGTAGTCTTAGTTTAAAATGTCCTCCCCTAGATTTTTCTATTCCATAAACGATCAAATGCCAACTACATAAAAAATAAAATAAGAATATTTAAAATTTACTTTTAAGATTCTGAATATTTAACAGTAGGTACGTAAGTATACAATATACATAGATATAAAGTGCAAGTACCTTAGTTTAAAGGCGGTTTAGATTAATACTATTATTGATCAGAGGCGGATCCAGGAAAAGATAACGGGGGGGGGGATTTTAAAAATAAACATAAGACATATAACTATAATGAAAATCAAGAAAAGAGGTTAGGTATATCGGAAACGAACGGAGGAAGGCGAACGCTCTCACGCCCCCTGAATCCGATGCTACTATATAGTATAGCGTATTTGGCAAAAAAATAATATGTTTTAGTAGCGTTTTTAACGATCTACCTGGACTTTGTAGAACTATGTTATTCAATAGACATCGACAAATTACTCTGCTGTGCCGCATAGTGTTGGGTCTATTCGAAATACAGGTACCTACCAAAATGCCGGTAACAACAATTACGGAAACGCGGCGGGACGATAGGTACAACGTCTTCTATTATTATCTGCATCGCTAACCAAAAAACACGGTAAACGCCCCTTTATTTTCTACAGTGTAGGCAATCCGACCTATTAATTCTTCTAATAATTTTGGTTTTTAACTGTAACTTTTTAAATAATTAATATTTAAAAAAAAAAAAAAGGCGAAGCGATTGTCTTCAAAATGTAGTCCTCTAACAAATTATAAAATATAATAATTTGTTATATCTCTAAAACTTTTTAAGGGTACCCATTTAGTTTGTTTTTATAGTTCGTTAGAAATACAGACGGCAGCTAATTCTACGTATTGGCCAAGTAAAGGAGAAAAAAGGTATTTTTAGCTGAACGTCACGATTTATTTTTGTTCATTCCTTAGAGGTCCTAAGGCTTTGATAATGATGATTTCTTCGTTACTTAATTTATTTTGACTGCATTAAAGAAAAAACATGACTAAAAGTACTCAGCTTAAAAATTAATTTTCATTAGAAACGATTTAGTATATAAACTAAATTACTTCAAATTTCTAACCTTCATCCCAACTACAGGTCACTTATAGCACTGGCCTTATTGATGGCGCAAATTATGTTTAGCTTTTCTTAGTTTTTTCGTCTCAATTTATCGCGAAACTAAACAAATATTATGTGCGAGTGCGAGTGTATCATGATAATCTAAATTTTTAATTAAAAACCTACAACATAATAATATCCAATGTAATGTTTACACGTGCAATATACCTAATACAATTTTTGTTTTCGTCTCATTATTCGTATTACTATATTTTTATTTTCCTAACGTAAAATTTCGTGTAACGTGATGTATATAATGATTTTGAAACGATTATCATTATTATTTTCATCGTTGCCACCTGAAACCTAATAATTATAGAGCACTATTTTCATGTTATACAGTATGATCCGTTGATCACGAATAAGAGATTTTCTCAGATTTCTGTTTTTCAATCATTATGGAATCGTTTAAGCACTATTTTAACACCGTTTTCAATTTTTAACGCCTACTTGGAGACCTTAAATAAAATATCTGAAATACACTTTTGATTTTCAAATAGGACTCCCTCCTTTTCAAACAAAGATTCGAATAGAGAATAATACTAGTTTATACATTTTGATATGCATAACACTAATTGTGTGTTTACTGTTTATTAGTTATATAAGTTAAAGTTTGAACTAGATATTAAGTTTGAACTATATTTATTAGGGTAATCAACTTTAATTCATATTAATTTTCATTGGTTTAGCCAGAAAGGGTTTTGGGTGTTGGTACCATCTCCACCATTGCTTTTTAACTAGGTATAGGTAAGGTTTAAAATATTTTAAACCCCTTTACCCCCTAGACCCTTGACCCTTGTCCTATTGATAAATTCTGGCTATTCCATTGTTCATTTTATTCTTTCCCTTCTCCTTTAAAACATTTTAAACTACTACTATACCTACCTAACTCATGAACTCATTCGATATTAGTGTTATGCATATTAAAAAGTAGATATATGTACTCATTATTTAAGGTATAAAAAGGTAGGGATAAACAAAATTAAAATTGTGTTAAAATAAAGCTTAAATGATTCCATAATGAATGAAAAAAAAAACTGGAAATCAAATTCATTTAAAATCCTTCGAAAAAAATCACTGGCTCGTGATGAATAGATCACTCTGTATACGCATCACGTGTGTTCGATGAAAATATGATTATTTTATTTTTTATACTCTCCATTGTTATATGTATTATAAAACAACAACACCACAGACGAAATATTATCTGGTTGCATAAAAACATCGTCGTTCACTAACAAATATTTAGGTATTGTTCCGTTTAAAATGCATTATATAACAGTACACCATTCACACGAGTTTATTTAAATATTTATTTGAATATACGTCTACTATATTAAAAAAATACAAATGTCACTTAGTGGTTTATTTAAAATCAGGCTACGTAGGCTGAAGAGGTTGCTGGGACGGTAATTTCGGTACATTTGTTTTAAATGATTTAGTTTTTTAGAAAAATGTTCTGAAAAAAATAATATTGAATAATTAATTCATATCAACACAATATATAATGTATAATAATGTATAATATTTAAAAAAAAAAAAAAAAAAAAAACATAATTTAAAAATATTATTATTTTAAAGGGGAGGGTCACTATAGCTGTCCTAGAGGAAACGGTAAAATACCCAATGGTCGACAAAAAGTTAAATACGCCACTGATCACTGATCACACCTAGATACTGCTATCTAGATGTACTCGGTTCGTCAAAATATATCATGAAAAATGACGTCATCGATACATTTCTAAATGCCTCATCAGAATACTATTTTAATATTGATATTATAGGTACTTATACCTACCTACTTTTCCGTAAAATACGAAGGTAAGGAAGGCATCTCATCGAACCCCTAGGCTACTTTTACAAATTTACAATGTAAAATTGTCACATTAATACGCACACTGCATAGTATAATTACACGAGAAATATTTTTCTAATAAAAGTGAATCAATACAACATACCTATTAATACGTTTGTATTATTTCGAAATTTATTTATCACATCAGTTTAATTGATAGGCTAACTATCTATAGCATAGTGTCGGCTACCTAGCAAAATATCGTATATTGATTCTGACAAATTTTGCAAAACAAAATGTTGTTAAAAAAACTACAAAGTCAATCATAAAATGATCTCCCCAATGCACAAAATAGATCAAAAATATTACAAGAAATTACATATATAGTTTTATAGCAAATCAAATCAAGATTTCTGGCAGCTGTTTACAGATACACGAAAAAAAAGACCTCTAGTTCGAGTATAAGACGTTTTTTAAATTTTCTGTAATTTTCTTAATTGGAAAAAACTCATGAAAAACGGGAAATTTTACAGCATTTACGGTTTCATTATTTTCGATTTTATATTTTTTTGGTTTTTCGTAATTCAATAAGAAATAATTGTGTAGACCTGAAATTTTCACAGAATAATAACAATCGCCTTTTGTAGACGTGCGGTAAAAACATTTTGTCGATTTTTTAGTTATAACATTATATTATATCCCACTTTCTCAACTTCCCACCTACAACAATAATAATACACTAATCAGCAGTATTAGCTCTTTTTTTTTCATATTAATCGAAAATCCACGAAAAACACTCATCTCCTTCGTTACTACTTATTGAAATCTGAAAAAAAAACAACAAAATTATTATTCGGTAAACACTAGTCGCAGACGCGCTAATTGATGTTGGGTGACGATAATAATGTTAACCTCGGTCGGCGATACGAGAGCCGATCGTTTTACGATACCGTTTCGCGACGTTTCACTGCACGTGCTGCTCTACCGACCGCATAACATTCGCTCGTTACGCGGTTATTTTATAATACGCGTTCGAAAGTAAAACCGCTAATCGGCCAGATTATGCGGCGTGTCCTGTAATCCGTGTATAGGATTTTTAAGCCCCTTGGCGACAAACGACGATAGTTTGGTCTGAACCCTCTCCTAATACGGCGAATCGCATCGTAACTTCAATCAATTATTTATGTGTAAAAACAAAAACAAAAACACCTGTGATCAATTGAGCTCCGTCGCTAAAGTCGAATTTCTCCACGCCTATTTTGTGTTATAGAAATAATATCCTTCGCAAAACAATAAATAACCGAATACTCTATGTACTCCAATCCTCTATAATTAATGTTTTAATGTTAGATAGCATTTATAAGTGTATACAATTATTTTACGAAATATTATAAAATTCTAGATGTTTATGATTTTCGTAAGTCTCACTTGAAAAACATTAATATTTTAACATATGCTCTTTATGCAAATAGCAATTCATATAGACGTATAATATACATGCAGAATGATAAGTTCGTACCCTAATATATAAGTGACGATAATTTACGCAGGTAAGAGATTTCTAAAAGGAAAAAGGGGTGCTCCTCAGCTTAATAATTATGTTACTACCTTTCTCTTAATATTTGAAGAAATTCGAAGTAATTAGTCTGATATTGATTTGAATTTTTTTGATAAAATAATTATAAGGGTACCAATAGTATGGGAGTGTGACGATGGTGGTGTTATTTACAGACGTATCATTATTTTATTTGACTCATATAGAAATGTTTCATATAGAAAAGTAACATATGAGATATGGATCTCTTCCGAACAACAAAAAAAACCGTTATTATTTGTGAGTTTAAAAGGGCCCGTTGACCTTCGCGTTGGTATCGATAGAATACTAATAATGAAACAAAATTTATTTATATGTTGTATGTAAATTATAAGAACAATCAGAGTACGACTGTGGCGGCGGCGCGGTGGTGTCCTCAAAGGGCTGACGCAAATTTCGTAAATCTTTACTGTATATTTGACTATTTTAAAATATTTTTATTATACGGAATGTATATATATATATATATATCCTTCTCGAACAACGAATGTTCCGTTATGTTTATTAAATTACTTTTTTTAATAAAAAATACCAAGTACTCAAACGACTTGAATCTTTTAGTCACACTGTTATAAATATGAATAATTCTATATAGGTATGTTATGTGAGTATAACATTACAAAACTATGAGATTCACAGTGATGACTGCATTTCTTATTTTAGGTAATCGATATTTTTTCCATATTTAGACGATTTACTGGTGTCATTTAATGGAAGATTTAAAATTAACTCAAATATTATCATACCTATTGTGTATTGCCAAATAATAAAGGAGATAATATGTCGTTCAATGATTTAAAACCAACAATTTATTTTTCCAAAGAAGATTTGCATGACATTAATATTGAAATGTATAAGATATTACTAGAAAATGAATTTGAATTGTGGAAACAAAAAAAGTCCAATGAAAACAATATAGCTGTCTAAAAAGTCCTTTAGATGTGTTATCAAAATTTCATGAAGAATTATTTCCAAACATATTTTGACCTAGAATCCCGACTAACACTAGTGAAGCCGCTGCCCACATTAATATAATATTGATTTCATACGACAGCGGTCGATTTAGAAAACTCCTACGGAATACGGATGACAACGTCCGGAAGATATGTTAAAAAAAACCCCGACAAGTCGACAACATTATCCAGCTAACGTGGCTGGTATACGCGAGTAATATTATATGCCAGGAAAAAATAAAAAATTGTCGTGAATCAACAATAACGACGGCGTTGTGATTTGGGCAAAACCATATATGGTATAAAATATACATATTGTACGACGGAAAACAAATAACGATAATGCAATAATTTTCAATCGTGATGAGACCGAAAAGACGTTCACATGACTCGACTAGGTTTATCAACTGTACATGTTTGTACAAAATAATAATATAGATAATACATCCACCGACCGACGACCGTAACTCGCGAAATCTATAAATACATAATATTATACTAACCTGCAGTAGTAAGTTTCTTTCGCGTTACTCATTTGTACCTATAAGCAATAACCTATTATAGTAATATCAACGACCAGAGGATATAGATCATATGAAATTCACAACGATGTATATTTCAAAAACGTCTAACTCTAGAATTAGAAACAAAAACGTAGTTTATTATTTTTTTATTCGAACTAAAATAATTAGGTATATCGAATATAGATAATATTTTTATATTTTTATTTATACATTTCTTATTTTGATTTCAGGAAGGAACTATTGGTGAACATTTGGTCTTGAAGCCCGTCCCTTCCGTGTACAGAAGGCACGTGCAGTCCACTCCGGACGACGAAATGTTCTTAGATCAAGAAATCCGTGAAGACGAAATTTCCAGACAGGGTTTTCCGCTCAAGTCTAAATTCGTGGCCCACCACAAGCACGTAGTGTACAGGCGAAATCCCGAAACTGACAGGAATGCCGGAGATTATGGTTTGTATATTATAGAACATTTTTTCTTATTCTTCTTTATTTTTTTTTCTAATTAATATTTATTTTAAATCAAAAACGTATTAACTATACAAAATCAAGCAACTTCGCACGGTGGGTAAGCCACTGTTGTAGATGAGAAGTTGGTAAGATACGATATAGAGGGGAATTTAGTGTATATCTGTAAGCAACGATTAACCATTTATAACGAGAAAACTATTCTGAGCGGAGTTCAGTTGATAGTGTTGTATTTTGTCAATATTATATACGTCATATTATGGTAAAATAATTACATATACATTAAACATTTTCTCTAATAATATTTGTTTAATATTGTATCTATTTTCCCATGTTTTTTCTCGGTTTTTCCCATTTATTATGAAAACTTTTGAGAAAATCAAAAAATAATGACTTCGCTAGAGTAACACCCCAATTAGAAAAACCTTCTTTCAGAAAAAGTGCTACAGTTGCAAATCGGAGCAAGATTTTTGGTAGAAAAGTTGTTCACAGAAAAAAAAACAGAATTTTAAAACCATAAGCTTCCTCGTGCCAATCTAAAAAAAAATAACATCGATCCAATTGACAAATACGTGGTATACAGTGTTAGATTTGATCAGTACGTTTAGTCCTTTTTTAGTTTTTCCTATTGTATTTGTATGTTTGTGCACTGGCCATACTATATTACCGTTTATATAAATAACATCACAAGCGAATTAAAACTAGAATTACTTACAACTTATTTTTATTTTTAGCATTAATGGAACCAGATTCGTTGCCGAGGAGTAGGCGGAAAAGATCGATAACCAAGAGGGAAGCGCCGTACGCAATCTATCCGGAAATAATGGTCATCGTGGACTACGACGGTTACAGGTATAATAATAATAATAATTAGTTCGAGAATCTCTACATAATAAAAAAAAATTTATATCAACGTAATAATATAAAAAATTTTAATAACTGTATATAAACGTGACATATTTTTACAGGTTACACGGAGGAGACAACGTACAGATAAAAAGGTACTTTGTATCCTTTTGGAATGGCGTAGATCTTAGGTACAGACTGCTCAAGGGTCCAAAAATACGCATAAGCATCGCGGGCATTATAATATCAAGAGTAAATAATAATATTATCATAATATAGATTTAGTGTTTTAAGTGACGATTGTAGTCGACACGTGCTCACTGCAAGCTGGGCATTCCGACGCTTTCGTCGGTTTCAATTCCGATTTCATCGTACAGAGCCTTCTTCGTTTTCGGACAGTTTTCCATGATTGAATCCAGTATGTTGGTACACATGCGTTTCCGTTTTCTGTACTCTTTGGTATATTTTTCATAGTCCTTCTGCACTAGTTCTCGATCCTTTTCTGATACGTGAACACCGGTATGTTTGGACTGCTTAATACAGTCCAATTGCGATTTGAGTTGAGCCACGGTTCCTTCCATTTCGGCGACCTTAAGTTTCGCTTCCGCCATGGTGCAAATGTTCTGCAGGCTTTTCACTTCAACCTCGGTCTCTTTATACTTACGCTCAACTTCGCGCAGGACCAAATTGATTTGTAGCAATTCCTCGTCCATCGACCGAATTTCCATTTTGTCTTGTTCCGTCATTTCCGGTTGAACGACACAATAAACTTTCTGTTTGCCGTTCAACTTCATATACAAGACGTTTTCCTTGACCATCTGTTCGAGAGCTTTTTCCACGGCTGATTTTCCAACGCCCTGCTTTTGTAAATTCGAAAACACGTCGTTGCTGCTAAACGGTCTGTTGGCAGTCATCATGAACTTTCTAACCTTGTCCGATTCCATATTATAGTGTTTGTGGGTTAAGCGGGCTATGCAAATAATTAATTGTGACACTATTTTTGATTTTAGGCGAGAGACGCCACACCGTATTTGGAGAGAAATAGGGTCGGTAGGGACGCTATTGACTCTGCTGCTGCACTCACGGACATGGGTAAATATTTGTTCAAAGAACGACGACTACCCGTGTACGATATCGCCGTAGCCGTCACAAAGTGAGTAGATGCGGTTCTAAACGATCTAAAGAAAAGACAAAAAAAAACAAATTCAGTAAAATTAATCGATTATTTAAAAAATAATAATAATAATATCTCGAGTATAAATACATTTTTTTTTTTTTTTTGATATTTTACTGTGAGACATCAAATACTATACAATACACATTATATAATATGTTATTTATGTTTTTGTGTGATATTAAATTAATATTATTGGGTCGTTATAACCGACAACGAATGCATTTAGGTACGACATGTGCAGACGTCGAAAAGGAGGCCGTTGCACAAAAGGAACGGCTGGTATGTGGTAAATAAAAAATAAGAGGGGAAAACGCTTAAACATATTATATACCTAGTATGATTCGGGAGAATTTGTACATACAAATTATCTGTCTACAATAAAGACATTACTAAACACTATCTTACTTCTGGGTGTGATGGATTAAAGCGAATACGTTTTTATTTTTATTTTTTTGGTATTTAACGGCCAGGCTTCTAACGTGTGTAGATGTAGATGATTAATTAATAATACCTACCTATTTATATATTATATCAAATTGTAAAAAAAATTGATAAAAATTGACACAACGTTATTATAAAGTACAACATAATATCAATATGTTTACAAATAAGTTTTGGTTGACCAAAAAAGAATAATAATGAATAGCACGTTTTATAAGTCCGAAGGAAATTTAAATCGAATTAATGACAATTCGGAACGGATTAAATATCGTGTAATGTTTCATTTTCAGATTAGACATGTGCAGGCGACAATACCCACACGATACATGCAACAGGGGTACCGCAGGTATGTCCCTGACAAATCCAAAACATATCGACAATGCACTTGTAATTTTGTTCGGCCCCCATACGTATAATAATTTCGTTTCCTGCTCAATTATACCTAGCAAAAAAACACCGCACTTAAATATTATATTGTAATATTTTTTTTTTTTTTTGTTTGGCAAACAAAAGGTTTCCACGATCTTCTCTTGGTTCGTTCACTGTCGGCACTGAAATTTTGAAATTATACCTGGACATAAACTATTTTTTTTTTTGTTTTTAAGGTCACCGTTATGTCTTCTTTTTTACACTGTTTTATATATAAAGTGACAACAAATGCGCATCTTTTTTTTATTTTTACAAACGCTATATCTATTAGACGACAACTTTCATGACATACAGACGCACACACACACGCACGCACGTACACGCACACGCACACATACTGACACATACACTATATAATATACACACGGAAAAACATGACATGTGGTAATACCGGTGCTAAACTAGTTAACTAATGGTGTAAACGCTGAAGCTTTCTTTACGGTGATTTGTTTCCTTAATAAAAAAATAATAATAATAACACAAATTATATATACCTATAATTTATTTATTTTCTTGTACATTTTTCTAACTTATAATACAATTAGTATAATTATATATACATCAAGGGCGTCATTTCAACTTTTTGAAAGGTATGTTAACAACTCGGCAGGCAAAAAAAGTTTTCAGCTGGCCAATATATATTTTATTAAAGAGTTATTACAAAACAAATCTTTTACACCAGATACAACATACCTGCTACAGATTATGACTATACATAGTTACCGATGCTGAACACCAATTTAAAAAAAAAAGAATATTTTTCCAGATGCAGAAAAATTATAGTCTGACCAAAATATAATCATATTAATATAATTAATTCATGATGAATTTTAGGTATGCATACCCTGCAATACCTCAAATGACGCCCCTGATATACATGCATATACATTATACATAATATATATTTTTTTACTCAATAAGCTGCGCTGGAACTGCGGAGTACTGCAAGGTAAAACGATTTAACAACGTTACACGCTTTCCACTATTCGAATATAATGCGATAATTACACTTCAATAATATAATGAATCGACGATATATACGAATTAAACACATTCTTTAGCCGGCTATTATATAGCTTTTAACCGTTTTTTTTTTAACGATACGATCGAGCGCAAAGAATACAATTAATATTCATATTATTAGTTTATATAAGATTTGTTCAACTATATAGTGATGAACAAAAAAAATTATACAAAAGAATCGTATTTTTTGTAAACATGCACTGTGCTGCAGCCTGTAGAGATAACCCTCTCTAGCTCTTGGTTCTCTAAACTTGATTTTTCTCAAATTAACTTTTTATTGTAACCCACGATTGGAATCACGTTATTTTATATTTAATTTTGGAGATTTAATTTCTGTTAAAAAATTTTTTTTTTTTTATTCATGCACTCGATTGTAATGTTAAGAATATATTATGATATAATATAATTAAATATATTTTATATTATAATTGGGTTTTAACCTCCAAGCACTAGTAAACTAATCTTGTACTGATATATAATTTTATTTTTGGCATTTGGGTAAAAATAAGAAACGAAACGATTTTCAACATTTGAACTTTGTGTTATTCGTGTACTTAGGATTCGCATACGTAGGAGGAGCTTGTGTGGTTAACAAACGACTGGAGAAAGTCAATAGTGTCGCTATCATTGAGGACACTGGCGGATTTTCGGGCATTATCGTAGCCGCGCACGAAGTTGGACATCTGTAAGTATACTATTAGCTCTTACAAATTAGCTACTTCGATCGGTCGTCCAAAAATTATCTAAAAAAAAATATTACATCTTAAATCGATTACAGATTGGGCGCAGTGCATGATGGATCGCCGCCGCCCACCTATCTTGGCGGACCAGGAGCGGAGAAATGTCGTTGGGAAGACGGGTACATAATGAGCGATTTGCGGCACACGGAAAAAGGATTCCGGTGGTCACCGTGCAGTGTGTCGTCTTTCCATCACTTTTTGAAGTTTGTTCACGATTAACTATTCATAATAATAAACCGTCTTATATGCGAACCTGGAAGACATTTCTCTTCTTCCAAACTATATTTGCGGTCAGCTACTTCAGTCCTGAATTTTCCTTTGATTCACCCATCCCCCCTTCCATCATCGCACATTCCAACAGTCTTAATTTTACTCTCAAAGTAAATGTCTAATAACCATCTCCTTATCTGTTTTCTTCTTTCCCTCACTCACTGTCCAACACTTTCATTTGTAAATCTATATTATACACTACTGACTATAATCTCTTCTTCGGGTGCATCATGCCTGAATAGCCTCGGGGATGACTGTACGTTTCACCTCCGAGTCGTACGACGTTTTATTTTTTGTATATTCCATAGTGGTGACACGGCTACGTGCCTATTCAATTCGCCGCACGAGGACGAATCCTTGCCCAGGATGTTGCCGGGAAAACTACTGACTCTGGACGCCCAGTGCAGGAAAGATCGGGGGACCAGCGCGTGTTTTGTGAGTTTACGGTCGTGGGCAACTACTTCTGTAATATTATAATATCGCACTGGCGACAACGACTGATAGTGATAATAAATCATTTTTACTTATAATTTGTATGTTTTTGCCCGCAGAAAGACGATCGGGTGTGCGCACAGCTGTTTTGTTTCGACGCGGGATCGGGTTATTGCGTGGCGTACAGGCCCGCGGCCGAAGGATCACCCTGCGGAGACGGACAAGTGAGTTTTTTACGCGCTCCGAATTCGATTTTAATGGTGACAAAAATTATTTAGATTTCAATAAAAAAAAAAAAAAACCAATATTATTATTATTATTTCACAAAATTTTAAGTCTCATAGATTTGAAAAACTTCCCGAGCGCAATTATTACTAATAAGGCCGGTACCGTCCTTAAATACGTCTCGTTTGTTTGGTACCTAATATTAATACTCTATCATTATATTTATACTTTGTTAGCACTGCACCAACGGCAAGTGCATAACGGAACACGAAAACATTATTCCCGATTTTTCGCAAAATACACCGGCCTACCTGCGTCGATCGGGAGCCGAAGCGGAAGCTACTCAAGACTGGCCTCAGTATCTGTCTCCTAACATAACGACGCAGAGGTAAATACACAGAGGTATACATAGATCTTAGTTTGAAAATGCCCAAAAGACGGCTATATGGTGTCAATGTTGTTGTGTGATTATATAATATAATATACGTTTTGAGCATATTATTTGGATGTCGCAATGACACGACGACATATTGGTGGCGTAGTTAGTTAATTAAAGCAAAAGGAGCAAATTATGGTGGTACTTATTTTTTTTTTTACCCTCAGAAATTTTTTAAAACTATAAAAAAAATTAATCCTGTACAGTAATAATATTGATGCATCGAAACGTGCAAACGTGCATCGAGAGCGTCCAAGTTCAAAAAAAAAGTACTTTTTTGATTTTTGCAATGTTAGCAAAATTACAAATTAAAATATGATATGATTATAATATAAAACCCCAGTGTGGTATGCTTTAGGGTTGACCTATATTTATGAAGCTTAACAAAATTTTTTTTTATAATTTTAAACTAATTCTGGGGTGATGCCCGATAAAAATTGAAAAAAAAATGTCTCCATCTATACGACAAAGACCACTCTAGGGCACATATTCACAGAATATTCGAATTCCTCGCGTAACATAAAAGGGCTTTTGTTTAATCGGAATTTGCATTTGTCAAAAACACGCAGCAGTTTACTAGTCAAACGCGATTTAGCGCAGGTAGAAATATTAGAAATTTCGTTAATCTATACATTCTACACGCCACCAGATATTAGTCATGGAACACCATCCGCGATGGATAGAAGACACGCCTGTTTCCGAAACCTACCGAGAACCGCATACGGCGGTTTGTAAATATTCTAATATATATAATGCATTGTAAATAAAAAAAAAAAATACTTAATTAGATACGTACAAAAAATATGATTCGTACGTTCAACAAAGCGGACCTTTTCTCAGATCCACAGACTGGGCAAACATAGCTGTAATATAGTAAAGATGATTATAGAAAAACCACGTTCTTGCCAACGGATCGCATCAGGATAATATCAGAGTGCAGTAATCCAAGCATAAAATATTAAAAATTTCGTCATCGTCCATCGGTTTTTCACGGGTAAAAACGAGAGGAAATAAATGAAACCGTTCCGTATCTATGTATTATTAAAGTTGCCAGACGGCGAAAAAAGAGAAAATGTCCGTTTTAGGTGATAAATGGGAACAATGTATTATTAAATACATAATATGGGTATTATAGTACGAACGAGCTATAAAACTAGTAACTATATACTATACATTATTATTTTATGCTTTTATTTTTCACTCATGCGTGATCACTAAAATGTTGGGGGTCCCAGTTGCGTCAAAACTCGGAAAATCAAAACTACAGGAAAGGCAAAATTTAGAAAATCTTGACGGTGTTTTCTGAATTTCCGTGATTATATTTCTGCGAAGCTAAGCCTCATTAGTGGACCACGCTCAGAACTCCCCTCCAACCCGAAGTTGTTTTAGTTTTCCTAATTATACATGCCTTTCCAAGTTTTGACTTTCCAAATGACGATGATGTTTTCGGCATTTCGTCATTCCGAGTTTTGCTAGTCCCCTTCCTAAATATTACTAAATTTGGTGGCATTTTAGGTCCGTGTGGAACGACTATTGGAGGACGACCCAAAAGACTATTGCCACCACCCGTAGTATTAACCAACCCCAACCGAACTTGTACACACTACAGCCAAAACTTTACCAACAACCATCACCACCGGTGACTATCCCCGTGACACCATTTGACTCACAACTATCGCACAAAAAACAACAACAACCATACGGTAACAACAAAAACGAAGACCCCTCTTTGCAAGCACTGTTGCTTAGAAACAAACATTACACTACGTCCTATTCGGGGCCACAAGAGTTGAAAACCATCAATCGACCGCAGTCGTTGCCTGACAGTAGCCCGTACGGTGAGTAAAATATACCGTGCAAGCGCACATGAAAAACAAAATACCCATCATATATCATACCAGGTATCATCTCGGTTTGAACCACACTTCACTGTCTTTACTATGTTTGTATGTAATACCGACCAGAACTTTGTATAATAACCACTGCATACAGTCTGTCGACCATATTATTATATTATTATAATCTATTTACGAACGCGTAAATATCATAACAATATTTACACACCAATATTGTTAAATAATATACACATATTGTTGTAACAAAATAATAACGTCATTGTATTGTTATCGAAAAAGAAAAAGCCGCTAACCTAATCTAATAACGAAAACGACGCATGCGTTAACACAATCATATTAACCGCCTACCGAGCCATCACTAATATTATTTACTTGTATAAACGCATCGCAGATTCATGCAGTTTGCTTTTGTGTATCGATACATTATTATTTATTGTTTTTTCCCTAACCTAAAGGACAGATAGGTCTATAACCTATCTCACAACCGGTGCTTGAAATGGACTGAAAAATGTTAAGGGAGGTCCAAAAAGTGTGTACTTGAAGATGTAAAATGTTTTATTGACAATAATAATAATAATAATAATAATAATCTTTATTTGCTAGTAGAAGAAATGTTACAAAGTAGAATACTACTCTGTAATAGATTAATAATGAAATTACTAGCTTTTCTCGACACTGAGGTATAACCTATTATCGTAGAGCAAGAATACTTATCATAATCTTAAATAATTATAAAAACAACAAAAAAAAAAAAACAATTAACTAGGTAATATAATAATAATCACCAGAAGAAAAAAAAAATAATAAACTGTTTTGGAGTATATAATGTATACAATAAGAATAATATTATAATAACCAATAAATAGAATTTTTGATATAAGACATATTTTTACAAATAGCTTTAATATTTGTAAAAAATTTGCTGTTCCACAGTGATGTAAGCAGGGGTAGAAGTCAGAGAATATATATCCCCCCCCCCGAATAGGGTGTAAAAAAATAACAACTATGAGTATTTATTTAGTAATTTAATCTTGAAATTTATATATTTAAAGCCAAGTTACATCCTTCATTCATCAATTAAAAAATTACTTCTTTAAACATGAATTTCCATTGACAGGTTAGGTGTAAAAGAACTAACTCCATACAATTCATTCATGTTTATTTTTCACTATACATCCCATCCAATTATGAAAAATTAATAGAAATATGCTAAAATATACGTGTATATTTTTTATAAGATACTCAGCTCCCTCCCCCAATTCAAGCACTGTATATATCATCTAAATAAGTCTGCAGATTTGTCACATTTCCTCGTCTCTTATTCTCGTGTATAAATATTATGTGCCTACAGCTGACGAGTGCGTGGACAAGACCGGGGCCGTGGACATGTTGGGAGCAGTATCCTGTTACGACTACCTGACTAGGTACGGCATGGGACACTGTTCAAACCCGTACATCCGGGACAACTGTTGTGCCGCCGTCAAGTACATGTGTAACGGTGGCAGTTTGAATAACGCAGATCCTCCTATTCAACAGCAACAGCTGCTGCGGTTGCAGTTTGGCTGAGCGGTACGTCCGTTGACACACCCATCACACCCACCAACCCGAAACAACGATTTACAATAATATAATAATTGCATTATTATGTTATATTTAAATAATTGAAAGAAAAAAAAATCCCTTTACCTATACAATCTCTGTGAGATTAGTCTATTATTATTATTATTATTTATGCCTCGTTATGCCTATATAAATATTATTATTATGTACTTATACTCGTTAAATAATCGAATTATATATGATTACAAAAATATATAAATTAAAATTATAAACACTTTTTTTGTATTTGTTCGCGTTTTTATAAGAGTACCTTGTCGAAAAAGTATTCGAAAAATATATTTTCATATACTGTATCATGTGTATATATATATATATATATAGTTTTTTTAAAAAAATATATATTATATTATTAGGTATTTATTAGATGTGCGCGTTTAAAGAAAAATTAAATTTGCTAAACCATTGTGTGATTAATGAATTCATATCAGTCTATAGTTTTGATATACTCATAATATTATAAATGTTTAGAAGTCGCGTTTGTTTTGAAATCTTTTTTTATCCTATTCGATAATTGTTCCTTGAAAAAACTCTAGGATAAAACTGGACTAAAAAAGATTTTGAAACTACGGAAAAATGTATGCGATTCAAAATTTTGTTTTGTTTATTTTGCTTTATTATATAAGATTATTATACTTACAAAATAAGTACCTTATTAGGAGATAAACACATCTTCTACCTGTATTTTATTTTTAGCTGATTAAGACATATTAAGTAACAAAAATGTACATACAAAAATAAAAGAAAAATAAGTTAGATGTGTGTTATGGTTTATTTGTTTTTTTTTTTTTATTTATAAAAATATTTTACAAAAAATCCTCATTCTATAATATTAATAAGAACAAAAAGTTTCCAAACCACTAAAAATAAGATAATATATATTACAATCGAACTATAATTATATTAATTTTAATTATTCTGGCATTACTAAAATTGAATGCCAAGAACCTTAACTATAAGAGCTCAAACTTAATCCTGGAGCAACAAAATTAAGAGGGCTTTAAAAACTGTGATTGGAGCAATTTTTAAAATATTATTTTTATCATTTTTGTACATAATTGACCTCTCGCATTCATTTAAGTGTGATGTTTTGCTCATTGGTATCGTTTTGAAGTGATGTTTGTGTTATTTCTTCAACGGTTTCTCCAGGATTGTCTACTCGTTTTTTGCCGACCATACAATAACTTGCCTAGCACCCAGTCTGATCACCATAGCAAAGCTAAACAAAAAAAATGAATCAAAACTTAATGTTTTTATTGGTCGTTCGGGTGTAGTCATTTATTTGAACAGTATGTAGAATATTAAGATAATATAATGTAACTATTGTTTAAATATTGTAACAAGGCATTTGTTATGTTGTCAACACTATTAAACACTTAACTTATCATAAATTGAAAATTTATTAAATAGATTGATAACATTTATGTTTGGAAAAAAAACTTTATACAAGTAAAGACATTTTTCTAAAATGCTAAACTAATAATTGTAGTTAAGTTCTTACAAAACTGTTTGATATTTTTTATGGTTATCAGTTCAAAATTATTTATTTAATTTATTATGACTACATAATATATAGGTATATATTGTTTATAGACTAGAGAGCTAAGATAATAAGAGTGGCCAATTGATGTAGCACCCATTTTTCTTCCAAAATGTTCCAACCTTATTTTATGTTCTAAGCAAAGAAAGAAATTTAGTTTTACAATGTTTATTATAATTACTTTTTTTAATATTTGTAAACAACTTTTCTACCGAAAATCTTGCTCCTATATATCAACTGATTATTTGTTGATTTTCCAAGCAGTTTTCATAATAATTGGGAAACCCAGGGAAAACGTAGGAAAACTGAAAAATGTACAATTTTTTTTTTTTGTTATTTAATTACAAATATACGTCAACTTAAAATTTGGACAGAAAAAATATATATTTTTTTTATAAAGTGGTAAAATTTTAAAAATATTTTAGCCAGTTTTGAGCTATTTATAGACATTTTAATTTTGCTAGATTTGTATGTAATATTTATTCGGTAGGTACTACATGGATAAAATTGTTAGACCAAACAGAAATGCTTAAAAATTTAACAGGAGGTTCATTATAAGTCGTATTTTATGGTGAAAAAAAATTGAGTGACATGTAAATTTTTTTTTATAATTAGTTAGTACCAAATTTTGACAATTTTAAATATTACATGTTTTCTAAACATTTTAAACTGAACCCTGCTCAGAATCGTTTTTTGTTAACAAGGATTAATCATTGATGAATATAAATTAAGTTCCCCTTTATATCCTACCTTCTCAACTTCTCACCAACAACAGTGGCCCACCCATCATGCAAAGTATATCAATCTTTTTTTTACGTGTGAAATTGAATTCTTATAAAATAATTACATTTTGCTTTATATAAAATTTTACATTTTATAACTTTGTATAAATTCAATTTCGAACATAAAAGCGGAGGGGAAAGTTTCAACAGAAAATTGCTGCTATATCAATTAACCACTCTCATAGCATCTGGGATCTAGGTACATGTAGTTTACACAAAATTGTTTCAAGCAGTTTTAAATATTAGTCATTATAGAATTAAGTAAAATGTTATAACCATGGATTTCATTTAAAAATGTTAACCATAGGACCTGAAAGAGCTATACTGTATTTGTGAAAAAAAAATTAGTTTTATTAAATATCATAATGTCTAAAACTTCCTCTAGTAACGTATACTTTAATTTTCTTGTTATCCAAAATGTATGAAATAAATTGATTCTATTTTGTTTATGTACAAAAAAAAATTAAAAATTAAAAAATACATTAGATTTATTTGTCGAAAAACATAAAATATAATCAACCTCAGCAAAAATAATTAATTTTGCAAAGCTATTGGGTACCTAAATAATAATAAAGAAAAAACTTTCTAACTCACAAACCCAGTATAGTTATTATTACGTAAGCAGTAAAAACGTTGGTGTTACACACCCGTCTATTTATCGAGTATTTGTTTTTAATGTTGTTGTTATGGTACAACTAAAATTAGAATGAGGTGTTATCTGAGTACGTGCTAAACGTGTAACACAAGAAAAAGATGAACAATGTAGAATAGGTACATATCAACATGATAACAAAAATTTAAAAAATGTAAGTAGTCATAATCATAAATACCTTAACGCTGCTAATATACCAGCCGGCATGATTTTGCCGGTGTTTAAATACCGCATGCCCATTATTCCTCCCAGAACAACACTCGTACCTAATGAAAGTGCCAAGTTGTTGGGATTCTTTGTCGTTTGGTATGCTCCATACCCTAATAACGATCCAAAGACAAGACCCGCTGACAGACTTGGGATGCTGGCTGAAACCAAAATACATACATACCTAGGTAATTATTTTAAATTTTGTTAAATTTGTCATTAATGAATTTAGCATCAATATATAATATCTTTTATTTTTTCATCTTCTTAGCTCAACTAAGTATTCTTTTCTACACTATATATCTTTTTATATCCATCACCATTACGCAATACTCAAATCCGCACATCATACAAAATCGTTTTGTAACAAATTACCCTATTGTCCTTTTTATGATACTACTTTCTTATCACACAACACACTATCCAAATGGCTGATTTTTCAAAATTGTTCTAAGGTACATAGTAATATTATTGGTTTTCTTTAAAACATTTTATTGAAATTATATCAATGTCTGTGGGGTCCAGATTCCCCGGACTCTCCACCCCGCCCCCAAACTTAAATCCACCACAGTACTATCCTGTTGCTTGAATCAACCTCATCCGATTCTACTAAATACCAGATCTACCTCCTTTCTCTTGCGCCGCTAATTATTACGTTAATACATAAACTTCGCGACTAGATTTTAATTTAAATGCTACATAAAAATATAATTAATATTACGATTATGCGTACCTGCTTTGGCATAGCCGATGATCCCTCCGGCGGCCACCGTTGCGGCGTACGCGAATCCGATGTAATCCACAGGCATCGTGACAATAATAATATTGATATTCTGATAACGAATATAATAATAAAAATTACCTATAGGTAATTATAATAAATCTCTGCTATTATTACGCAACGCGAAAAACAGTGACGGCGAGCGGCGCGCGGTGTACGAACACGGGCATACAACAACGGGTTAATACTTAAAGATAAGCGAGTAGATACGTCGAGCACGCGCCTCCCGTGTAATCTTATCGCCTAATACGTAAATAATGTTTATAGTAGTATCAAATATCTTGCGCAAGTTATAATTTTGAATTATTTTTATTCACTATGCATATTTCGTTTGCATGTATTTTTCGCGATTATACAAATTGATACAACAGCAATAAAATTTTATATCACCTTGATTTATGTAAAATAATAATTTACCGTATCCGTGTGATTGGACGGTCGACGGAAACCCGCACCTCCTTAGTCCTTGTTGCCCAACAGTTACTACGGTAATACGGATTACGGTGTACATTTCTATGCGGACGACCTTGAAATTGATAACGCAAACCGTTCTATTGGGACCACGGTTAATGATTTTTTTTTTTCTCGGTCTAGTTTCTTCATATTCCTTTACTATTTAAATTGTATTGTTTGTGGCGTGCGCATACGAAGAAGACGACGACCGTCTAGGCACCCAACAATTAATTTCGTTTTGCTCGAATTGGTTTACATTAGGTAATTTATACATTAAGCATTACTAGTAGTATATCATTAGAATCGATCAAAACCAATAACTATTGAAAAATTATAACTCTACTATTTACAGTGACAGTGATTTTATAATGCCATACGATATTCCAAAAACTGTTACAAAAATTTACATTCACACTGGTAATGTACTGAACGCCAATGAACTGACACAAAAAGCAGGGCAAAATGCAACTCAAGAGGTAAGATTTTTTTTTTTTCTGAAGACAGCTAGGTAAGTAATATGATTTACTTATTATATCTAAATTTTAGGTAGTTGAATGTTTGAATATTTGCCTGTCAAAGTATCCATCGCCATTTGCATTGAATGAAAAAACTATACATTTAAAATGTGATGAGTGTTACAACAACGGTAATGAAGAAGAATACATAGCTCTTAGAACAAGTGTTAAAATTTTTCTTACCACAAATGCGGTTGATGTTTTAGAAGATTCATTAAAAAAACGTAAGATTCATTACCTTGATTGTATTAAGTACTTAATTTGTTTATTTAGTAGATATTAATTTATTGTTTTTAGTCTTTCAAGAATTAAATGAAGAAGTGGTTGATTCCGTAATTTTAGCATTTAATCATAGTAAAGACACATTGCTAACTGATTTGTTAACTCTTTGGTCTGTACTTGAGGGTTACGTCAATAAACAAAAAATTACGCGCATAGGTGTGAGTGATATTGACACAGATTTGTTCATCAGTCTGTATCAAAACTCAATTGTAAGTTTATTTCATTTTCTATTAAATATTAAAATATTAATCAATTTTGGGTTTTAGATTAAGCCAACAATTGTTCAAATAAATTTGAACTCATGCTGTGTTGTACCAGAAGCACTTCAAGAGTTCACTAGAGATAACGAAATTCAGCTATTAACTCACAGTGATCCTAAAGGTAACCTACATTAATTATTGCTATGTACAAATTAAAGCTTTACATATTATCTAATAATTAATTACTCATATTTTCAATAGTTTATAATGAAAAGTCAAGTTATAATAAAATAAAGTACTTTGGTAAAGCTTAATAGAGATCTCATTATTTTGATTTACCTATCCATAATTTTTTTTTTAAACTCTTAAAAAATTATAAATTATGCATCAAAATGTGTAAAACTAACCCTATTATCTATAACTATAAATTACATTAAGAAAATCGTCTACATTCAGGTCATTACATATTATACTTTGACCAAGCTATAAATTCCTAATCAGCTTTTTATGATTGAAGAATTTGCATATCTAATATTTAGTTACAATTTTATAAATATCATTTTAGTTCTTTTTTACAAAGATATTATTAGTGAACTAATTGTATAGGTACATATATAAGTTGTCAGTTATCAGTTGTCAGTACAAGTTTCAGTATAATTTATAAAACTATTATGCTTTAAATTAAATATACCCACTTCAAAAGATTCATATAGTATGCAGATTACCCAATTGAGGATTGTGTCTTGTTATTTGAGGAGGAATATTGCGGATATGTTTATATATGACCTATTAAATGATCTGATTTTTTCTCTGGAATTATTGTCTCTTATTGGTTTTAATATAAAAACTCACCGATTAAGAAATTCCAACTTATTCCACCTAATTTTTCCCCAGAGTCTTTGGTGAACACTATAACAGACCATGTTGATTTTTTTTCTATGTCACGCAATGTTTTCAGACAGAATGTTTGTATTGCCTTAAATTTACTTATTTAAATTAATGTTTTCCGAATTTTTAAAACATCTTGGTTACTTCCATTATTTATTGTTAATTTAATACTTATGCTTTTATTATATTGTTTTATTTTTTTGTATATATATATTTAAGTACCCAATTTTCACTATTAAGTTAAGCAGAAATTATGCGTATTCATTGTATTTTGCTTAAGAGTTAACACTAACTAGTTTAATATACATAAAATAAAATAATAATAATATTATAGTATGTAATACAATGTGTTTGACAGATTTTTCTAGCGCTGTTAATATTACAATTTTTTTTGATTTTTTTTTTTAATGAGTTTGACTTCAAGAGGAATATCGATTTGGAGAAAAATTAAATTTTTATATTCATCTCCTAAACAAAAAAAAAATAATAACTTTATTTATTCACTTTAGACAATTTTCAAAATAACTATCCTGTAAAAAATATTATTCTAAAAATTTTAATGTATCATATATTCATATCCAATTATAACCGTTATAATTTCTAGAAAATAGTCGTGAAAAAAATTAATATTAAATAAAATGATATGTTATGTGATAAGGAATCACAATCAGCACGGTAATTCTTTACCTTCTATTGAATATTAATTGTTTTCACGCCTATTTTCTAGAAATTAATATAGCTATAATTAAAAAAAACTATTAATAGGATATGAATGTGTGATACTCTAAAATTGTTAGAATAATATTTTTTACAGAAAAACTTTTTTTAAAATTTCCAAAATTGAATAAATAAGAACTTCTTTTTGTTTGTGTTTATGGGATAAAATTAAAAATTAAATTTTTCTCCGAATTAATATACCCCTTAGAGACAAACTGATTAAAAAAAATATATATATTAACAGAGCTAGAAAAATTGGTTGAACACTGTGGGACACACTATATACATTTGTATTTATTTAATATTTACTTATTCATAAATAAGCTTTTTTATTTTTCAGAAATTTTACCTCAATCTTGCCTAGCCGAAGTTTTTGGAAACAAAACCGAACTAAAACAAAAAATACCCAAACTTGAATGGATGATTAGATACCTTACTCACGTTAAGTGTAGAGGAGTTCTAGCAAGTAAAGGATATGTTGTGTGCCTTAAAAGGTCATAAAATATAAGTACTTTATGGCAAATCATAATGATGTACAATTTTTTTTTTAATAAAATGGTGAATTCAATTTTTTTTCTTTGATCAAACTAAAAATTGTTAACAGTTTTAGCAAACTTTAATATTATTGTTATATTATTTTTTTATTCATGTGATGAAGGCATTTTTAAGTAAATAATTATTACGTTATTATTTGTAACTGAGTAGAAATATTTGTGATAGTTCCATTTACCTTTGTAAACTATGTAATTGTCTACATTTTTATAAACCAGTATTTGGTAAATTTTATTACAGGAAATACATATTTTTTTAAATTCAATTTAATATTGGATTATTTATTTATTAAAATAAAATACATTAACTTAATATCATAAATTTTTAATTTTATATGAATAATAACTTAAAAATAAAAAAAACTAATTGCAGTTAAATGCATTATAATGAATGAATTATAATTTTTAAATTAAGAACAAAAAAAATAATTACCTAGTTTAAATAAACTTAGTCAGTTGTTACTTCTTCATTTATAATATTTTATATTTTATTACACAGTTTCTTGATTGAACCATATTATTTATGAAAAAATATTATAAATAATTTGTTTTTAATATGGATAATTATAGGGACCTGGCTCCCTGATTACAGATGTATACTATTAAGTTAATAATTTTTCAATTTTATTATTAAAAAGTAACGTAAAATGTTTTCATTAAAACTAGAGGAACTAATGAATTAATATATTATTAAATGAAGCGAGGAGGATAAAATGTAATATTGTGTATACGTAGTTAGTAAGAATGTATCTTTTGGGAGTTTCAATTTTCAATTCCCACTCCTACTAGTTTTGTGCTCAAATTTCATATATTTTTAAAAAAAGGTATTGGTTTGGTCTTTAATACATTATAGTATTATAATAATATGTGGTTATTTATTATTATACAAAAAGTTTTTATAATACAAAATAGGTGAAGAAAAACTTGACTCTATTGGAGAGCCCTTCTGTTTTGAGTCAAGTATATAGATATACATGTATATATTTAGCTAAATTATTCTAAATTCATTTTTTTTTAAATAGTTGAATTATTAATTTATAAAAATATGAAAAAATGTGTTATTATTATTTTCTATACTTCTTTTCTGAGGCAGGCAAAACATTTATGCTAATGTCAAATTGCTCGTGATAGTTCCGATTGTAACAAAAATACACAACTAAACCTTTACTATAATTGTATTCTAAATTATTTTTAATTATTTCACAAAGTTATATTGAAAATATGTATTTGTTTGAATAACTGAAAAAATGCCTTCATTAATATATTATTATTAATGTTACTGCTTTTCCACAAATATATTTTGTGATAAACATTATGTTAAAATAATATGTATTATCTTAACTTTAGTATTGGCACAATGTTTTTAACCTCGGTCAATCATTTAGTAAAAACCACTTTGTATAACTTAAACTTGTAATGAACAAATTAACACACATTTAATTATTGTATTTGACCAATATATTATATTATATGTAAATGTATTTTAACAATATAAAATATATAACTAACAATAATAATATGTACACGTGGACATAATATAAATTATACTGGGGGGGAAAAAAGGTGAACTATGGCGTGCTAATTTAAGATTGGCAACATAACAATAATAGTTATTTAATATTATAATAATATTCATACAAATGTATTGAATATTAAAACATTTGATCTGTAGTATTTTTAGAAACATAATAATAATTTATTTGTTTATGTTCTAGACGAAATTCTAATATACATTATGATTAACTTGGTTTTATTTTTAAAAAAAAAAACAATATTATATTTGCTATTTTTCAAATGTGTTAGCGCATTTAATAACCAAGTAATGCAATTGCATGTACTTTTGAGGGGGAGATAGATTACTGGTATATTGGTGTCACAGGGAAGCTTAAATAGCCTTAAAAAGAGGACAGTCATTTAGTTATATTATATGAGACAACAAGTAACAATGTTACTTTTACTTAGTCTAGTAAAGTTGAATATTTCGTCGTATACGTTGTTAATTGGTTTAACCATATGGAAAGTTTGTAACGTAAATACTAAGGTATTGAATAATAGATGTAGACATCTACTTACTTTTATATAATTTTTGTCTTGTGTATTTGGCACTCGAATATGTCCAATGTTGAAAACTATGGTTATCACCTATTTACTGTAAAAGTTTAACTGGTAGTTTTCTGTTTTATTGATTTGAACAAAAAGGTAGAAAAAAATAAGTTTAATTCGAATGTTAAAAACAAAACGATTCACTTATCAAAAACAGTGTTTTCAATATTTTTATCAAAGTAACACAATTTTGGCGCGATAAATTCGTGACGTTTTACCATAGGTGTACTTTTGCGTTTTATCATCGTTAATCTTATTTTATTTGCCATGTTTTATGTAATTTTCTTCCATGATTTCAGAAAAAGTGCCCCCATCTTTGACAGGGTTTCGGCATCGAACTGTTCTCCAACAATTAATTAAAAAAAAATAAATAAGTCATATCAAAACACGTAAAAAACATTTAAAAAACGTGTCACGTGTCCTCATATTTTAGTATTAATAAACATACTAAAATGAAATACATGGATTTTGAAAATAATAACCAAATATTACGCTGGTTCAATAGTTAATGTTAATAGGAAAAATATTATAAATAAAACGGGTTAAACTGTTAAAGTACTAGTAGGCACAATAATAATTGGCACATGTGGCATGCGTTTATCATATTCATATTCTAACAATGTCTGTAATTATTGATAAGGTGCAACTGTAACTCAAAAATTCATGTAGGCTTTAGACAGATGTGTAGATATAGGTTATTTATGGGAAGGGAAGGGGTTCTGAAAACCTGTCTATTATTTGTAATATGGTTTAATTGGGAGTTGACAAAGTTATTTTAATCATTTATGAGGGGGTTTAACATCCTTTCCTTACCTATGCCCCTGACTCTAGAGCAACTAATCTTATATACAATAGTAGTTATACTCACGATCCAAGATATCTTAGTTCGTGATTTAAATTAAATAATTATTTTTTCTTGTCAAATATTAAATAGGGGACAACAAAAAAATCAAATCTTAATAAACTCCAAGCTTTCCAATCTATAAGCCTCCGTCTTAAAACAAACTGTTCCTGATACGTCAGTTACCTTACGCTCCACAAAGACTTAAAAATTCCAACCCTCTTCGTCTTAATACCCAGTCATTATAAAAAAAATCCATACAAATACTTTTAACCATCCTAACATTCTCAAATCTCATCTCTTCCATCACACTTCCCTATAATCAAACCCGTCGTCTCAAACGTAATTGCCCACGTGACTTATTAAATAAATTAAAAGTAACATAATATATTAATATAAAAAAAAATCGTTCCCCCTGAAGTAGTACCAATGGGCACTTCACTCACGCCATCATAACTTGTACATCATTTTACATATCAAAACTGCAAAAAAAAAAATTACAGATTGTAATTTATCCTTTAATAATAATAAAAAAAAAAAGTATCAAAGAGAAGACGCTATCATTAAATAATTATTCTGTACGAAACACTGATTAAATTAAATTCTAGTTTTAGATAGATAATAGAAAAAAAATTCGAAATATTGAAAAACGACTTAAAAAACAATATTGTTTTGTGTATTACTTATTTACTTATAATTTATAATCAATGTAGGTAGGTATAATTCGTAATCGTATTGTCACTTTCTGACCACATTTTACAAACATTCAATACTTTTAGATTCTTCTTTGACAAAAGTTATAGTACAATCACGGGCTAAGATATTCCTTACTACCTTAGTTATATGGGGTCCGAAGCGTTCTCCAATTGACAAGAAAAAAAAGAATTGTTTTGAATTCTTTTTTTTCTTGTCAAGAAGAAGAATAAATTTAAAAAATGTCTTCATAATATTCATAAGTTCAACAAATTCATTCGGTTATTAAAATGACAATAATATAATGATAACACGTTGCGTAATATTTTTTTCTTATTAAGTCTATACCATAAATGTATTGTTGGATTGTTGAGATTTCAAGGTTTCAAGATTGGTAAATCTGATTTCAATTTTTTTTATATTCTTATTAATTGTCGAAAAACACCCTAGTTGTATTCAGGAGCAGTATCTGAAGAACAATTATGGGTAGGGGGTGAATTGATATCGTATAGATAATTCAAGGAATCTAACCACGAATAGCAGGGCGAGGAGGGTGTGTAAATGTATATTATCACATACTTTCATTATTTTCTTCGTATATACTTACCTACGTACTAATTCATAATAACTGAATGATACTAAAACAATTAGTTACACCTCCATAATAATTTGTTGTAACTATAAATTAAAAGTATCATTCAATTGAAAACAATCAAATATAAATCACTGATTTTATCAATGATATAGTGATATCATATTTCATTAAGGTTAACACGTAGATAATAAACGTTACTTTTATTATCTATAGGTTAACCAATGTACCAGATATTTCACATTATTTTGTTTTTCCAGAAGTATGTACCCTGTAAAATAGAACCTTTTTGCGTTTCAATATACAGACTAAACGGCCTCTATATATAACTCTATGGCCTATCTCCCGGAGAATATCAGCCGGACAAGTTTGATAAAAAAAAAAATCCTTTTCTAAACTCATCGTAGAAATACATAAGAATAGGAATTGTAAATAATAGTCATAATACCTTTTATCATTGCGACCGTTTATCCTGATTTTAGATATTATAAATTTGGTTATAATTATATGAGTGGTTTTTGATTGATAAACTCGATTTTGTTAAAATTACCAATTATCCTATTCCACTGTTGCCAAAACTCCAAAATTAAACATACGGCTGATTAACCACAACAATGTAAACACCAGTATTTCCATTGATTATGCTTATTGCTTATTTCATTTCGGCGAGTACCTATCTTTTCGACTTTTTTTCTCACATTTTATGTTTTTATTATCTTATTTAATATTTATTTCTTATTTATTAATAAGTGCTTACTATTACGTTTGTTAATCGTGAATACCTATAGATATTTACATTAAATTATTATAATAATCGTCTAGAACAACAAAAAAATTAATCGCGCTGCCCTAGTTATTACAAATACTATGATTAATTTGTACCTACTTCAGTGTAATAACCAACCTCTTATTTATGCCTACTTAAATATCAAAATAATGGAACTTGAATGAATGAACTCGTCGGAAGTATCTCGAGAGAAAATCAAAACCTAGTGAGTATTATTCGAGGTATTATAATTGTGTTGTTCTATCGTAGGTATTTATCGTAATAATGTTATAAGTTAAAGTCTGACTTAAAATTGATTTCCACTCTCCGGTGGTCTATAATTCGAATGTTAATTGAGAATAATAATTATAATTAGTAGCCCCTGCTAATACTCTTTATTTTAAAAACAAATTAGGTAATCAGCAAACATTTAAGAACGGAGTTACAATATTTCTCTTGCCAGTGGCGTGTGCAGGGGGGGGGGGTAAGGGATTATATCCCTCCCATTGGCTTAAAGTATAGGAAAATTTAAGTAATCATATGTCGAAATGCATATATTTTAGCCAAGTTACGAGGAAATACTTGATTATAAATTGGCATTTTTTAGAATCCGGCTTTAAATTACCAATTTTCACAGTCAATTTGAGCAGAGAAAATGAACTTATGATTTACTCATGATTCGTATTTGCTACATGCCCCCCTCTTTTTAATTCCTGGGCACGCCACTGTTCTTAGCAACGTCTTTTCGTTGCTAACATTATTTTCACTGTTGTAACACAAAACAATGTGTAAATACGATGTGTAACGAATATTAATCCTTAATGTGGTACCTCATTTATCGATTTTAGTTTAGTATGAGAGACAAAAATAATTAAATTTTGATTTTTACCAAATAACATCTTCAAAAAATAACAATATACGTATAAGAAATTCCGTAATTTAGGTAGGTACCTGGACTCGTCTTCAACGTCCAATTGGGTTGTTGTTTCTCTTTTGTAACAAACTAACATTATTCTTTTAAATCTTTATATTAAATACCTAACTATAAATTTACAACATAAAATCGCAACTGTTTTTAATTGTATAGGTTCTTTGGTAAATTGTTTCGTTCTGAAAAACTGTCAATTTTGCTCGTCGACTAAGTATGAAAATGAGGTACTTGATGTAAAAAGTTTTAATTCGCTGAATTAACGATTAGATAAAGTTCTATAATAATGTTTTTTGTATTATTTTTTACACTTCAAGTGACATTCGAATCTTCTCTACCTACCTACCTTTCATATTTATTTAATATTATAATTTTATTTTGAAATTTTGCACAAGTGTTTATTTACGAAAACAATCGATGGTTGATAAAAGTTGTTCACGGGGGAAAAAAACGGCCGTAATATTTTGCTGTTTTATTTCATACATTTTCCCGGTTTTTCCCGTGTATTGGAAACGCTTGGCGCAAACAACTTCAGCGCTAAACGAAAATTTACACAACACGTTTGTACTATATAATTACTGTAAACCTATTAATTATTTCAAATCTTCTTTTTTATTAGGAGGTACATGTGCATTATTTTCTGTTCAATCAAAAAAAAAATTACATAACAATATGTTTTACACCCACGCTCGTCTAGTATCGTGCCTGTCATAGACACCCCCCCCCCCAAGCAGCCCTCAGTTTTTTTCGGCAATTTTGACACGGAAATCGAATTATTCGGTATTCGTTCGATGTGTGCGCCCGGCTAAATGAAAATTTGGTTTAGTAACTCGTAATATAATTTTATGACCTACCTGTGTGGCCGGGATTAGTATGACGGTGACCTATACCAAAGCGACACGATATCGCGTTATGATAATATTTATAATGTCTATCATGTACGTGTGCTTGCTTATCTTTATAATTTGATTATATTAATTTGGTTTAACCTACAGATAACCGTCATCCTACATTATTCTATTATTCTTGTTCTATTCTTATACGTATCATTTGCCGATAGCATTATTTTGTTCATTATCGACAATATTACCGTCGATGTATTGGGTTGGGTACGTGTTTTGTCATTGGGTTCGTCATAACGAAATGAAATAAATGTCAGTATTGTGCGAGACTGTTCAATCTGATATTGTCCGATTTTCGAACGTTGATTACTAAAACCTAACTTATACCGTACACGTAATTCGCGCATTAAATGTAATTTCAATACGTGATCGAACCAACCTGTTCTTGTATGAAAGGTAAATGATTAAAATCGTAAAACAGTGGATCGTTTACCCAATAATCCAATAACAGGACTCGTACACGAACTCTCAAACGTTCACGTGGAGCATTTAAATACCAAAACACTACGGAGTATGCACGGAACATCAGCTGATTGAGTCATCGGTGGTACCGATTTATTAATAACAGGCAAGATTAATTATTTTTACAATTTTCATAGTGATTTACA